AAAAAAAAAAAAAAAAAAAAAAAAAGTGAGTCTCAACCTCACCCAGGGCCCTTTGTGCCTCCCACGGACACGCCATGTCTGAGACTGAAATTTGCTGAGAGAATTTTTTTTGTTTAGGATTAAACCAGCTGTATGACAACAACGTAATGATTGCTCCTATTTGTTCTCTGGAAGACTTTGGTTTAGATTGGTCTAATTTCTTTTCTTAAGTGTTTGAAGGAATTCAGCAGTGAAGCCATTTGGGCATAGAATTTTCTTTCTGGCAAGGTTATTAATAAATTTTAATTTTTAAAATAGATATTAGGATAGTCAGATTTTTTGTGCTTATATTGGTTTAGATGGACTGCATTTTTTCTTTTGTTTTTGAGACAGAGTCTTGCTCTGTTGTCCAGGCTGGAGTGCAGTGGCACGATCTTGGCTCACTGTAAACTCCCCCTTCTGGGTTCAAGTGATTCTTGTGCCTCAGCCTCCTGAGTAGCTAGAATTACAGATGCCTGCCGCCAAACCTGGCTAATTTTTGTATTTTTACAAAATACAAAACCCTGGTGAGACAGAGTTTTGCCATGTTGGCCAGGTTGGTCTTGAACTCCTGACCTCAGGTGATCAGCCCACCTTGGCCTTCTGAAGTGCTGGGATTATAGGCAGGAGCCACTGTGCCTGGCCAGCAATTGGGACTTTTCTAATTATCTTTTTATTATTGATTTCTAGGTTAATTCCACTGTGATCAGAGTATATACTCTGAATTTAATCTTTTGAAATTTGATCCTTACTTTATGGCCTGACATATGGTTAAATTTTGGTAAATGTTCCATGTGTACATGAAAAAAACATGTATTCTGTTGCTGTTGAATGCAGTGTTCTACATATGTCAAACTAATACTTATTAAGCCTTTAGTACATGTCAAGTACCATTCTGAATGGTTTTAATACCCATGACAACCCTATGTGGTAGGTTACTATTTCTATTCCCATTTTACAGATGAGGTCACGTGGCCAGTAGAGAGGTAGCAGAGCTGGCTTTCTAACCTGCCCATCTGGCTTCACAGTTGTCATTCGTCTTTTTTTTTTTTTTTTTGAGCTGGAGTCTCGCTCTGTTGCCCAGGCTGGAGTGCAGTGGTATAATCTCAGCTCACTGCAGCCTCTGCCTCCTCAGTTCCAGCGATTCTCCCACCTCAGCCTCCCAAGTAGTTGGGATTACAGGCACCCACCACTATGCCCAGCTTAGTTTTTGTATTTTTGGTAGAGACGGGGTTTCACCACGTTGGCCAGGCTGGTCTCGAACTCCTGTCCTCAAGTGATTTGCCTTTCTTGACCTCTCAAAGTTCTGGGATTACAAGCGTGAGCCACTGTGCCCGGCTAGTTGTAGTTTTTTTTTTTCTTTTTGAGACAGAGTCTTGCTCTGTCACTAGGCTGGAGTGCAGTGGCACCATCTCAGCTCACTGTAACCTCGGCTTCCTCAGTTCAAGTGATTCTCATGCCTCAGCCTCCCGAGTAGCTGGGATTACAGGCATGTGCCACCACACCCAGTTAAGTTTTTTTGTATTTTTCGTAGAGACAGGGTTTTATCATGTTGGCCAGATGGTCTCGATCTCCTGACCTTGTGATTTCGCCTGCCTTGGCCTCCCAAAGTGCTGGGATTACAGGCATGAGCCACCATGCCTGGCCAGTTGTCATTCTTAAGAGCTACACTCGAATGTTAGCACAGGTCCAAAGCCTTCCCCTGGATTCCTACAGATCCCAGATACCCCCGAGCTTCTTGGTTTATAGCTTTGTCTTACCGCCACATGTACACAGTTTCCTGTTCTGCACAGCATTGGCCTAGACGCAAAATTCAGCTCCTTTCTTAGTTCCTGCTTTTCTCTGAGTTAGGATTTCAGCTTCCCTATAGTGGTTTATCAAGGTGCTTTCCCAAACAAAGACCATTCTCTTCCTAAATGAAATTCCTGTGCCTGCCATTAACAGTATATATGTAAACAAAAGCAAAACAAAACAAAGCCATGCCTGAAATTGTTAATGCGAAAATGTTAACAGTATCTCTGGGTGATACAATTGTAGATGCCATTAATTTTCTTTAAGCTCATTTTGATTTTCTACATTGAACATGTCATTTATGTAATTAGAAATTTTTAGACAAGAAAATATCTCCACCCATAATCCCAATACCCCAATGCAATTGCTGTTTTCATTTCTCTGGAACATGTGCATATTTTCTGAAAACTACCCAACTGGAACAAAATCAGAGCCTTCAAACGTATTTCTCTCCTAAATACAGCCCACACGGTAATGAAGATGCCAGCTATCCTTTTAGAGTACTTAGTAATAGGGTGAACCATATACACTTGCTGATGCTTGCCTTGGGGCAAGCATAAATGTACATCATACCATTTGTCCTGGCTTGAGGGGGGTTATTTCATCCCCACTTCACAGATGAGTTAAGTAAGGTGCAGAGAGGCTAAGTAGTCCATTAGAACCAGGTGGGAAGTGGCAAGGCTGGAATTTGAACCCAGGTGTCTGGCACCAAAGCCCACTTTCTCCTGTCCCCTGCCGCCTTTCACTCGCAGTGCCCGGTGGGATTGCAGCTGAGTCCCTGACCTTTACTCCACTGGAGGACATGATCTTCCTCAAGTGGGAGGAGCCCCAGGAGCCCAATGGTCTCATCACTCAGTATGAGGTGGGTTTGGGACCCTATTACAGGGGGGAACCCTGGTAGAAGGTGAGAGGTGACCTTCTTTCTCTCTGCCGCTACAGTAGGAGGTGCATGGGGAGGACAGATGTGATTGTCATCGTTCCTTCAACTATGGTCAGGGTCTGCATCCTGTGAATTCTAGAGCAGGACCCTGAAGGCAGGAGGGAGAGGCAAAGATGACTAGAAGCCTGGCTTGATGGCATCCATAGTCTCCTTTGCTTAGCCTCATCCTTTACTTGCCTGGAACACGGTGGGTGGAGGCTCTGGTCAGGGGTGCTCTGCCCATACTGTGCCCACCTGCCTGCCAATCCTGCTCCCAGATCAGCTACCAGAGCATCGAGTCATCAGACCCGGCAGTGAATGTGCCAGGCCCACGGCGTACCATCTCCAAGCTCCGCAACGAGACCTACCACGTCTTCTCCAACCTGCACCCAGGCACCACCTACTTGTTCTCTGTGCGGGCCCGCACGGGCAAAGGCTTCGGCCAGGCAGCACTCACTGAGATAACCACCAACATCTCTGGTGAGCCCCACCTGACCCGGCCCAGCCCTTTTAGAGGTGGCCCAGAATCCCAGCGTTCCATGGGCGGGGGGGGCGGGGGGGCATCCTGAGGGTGGTTGCAGAGGGCCCCTGCTGAGATAAATATGCCATTTAGGAGTTAAAGTCAGGGCTCAGGGAGGATGAAGTCACAGGAGTCAGGAGACTGCGGTCAGTGGAATCAGAAGGCTGAGGTTGCGGCTGGTGCCTGAGGTCAGGGTCCAGGGTAGCTTAGGTCATGTCAGCAGGAACAAGGAGGCTAAGGCTGAAGTAGGGGAGATCTGAGGACCGCGGTCACGGAGGCTGGAGGCCTGGTCTTCCTGGTCCAGTGGCCAAGCTCCATGCTTATGACCCTGTCCCCTTCCTCAGCTCCCAGCTTTGATTACGCCGACATGCCGTCGCCCCTGGGCGAGTCTGAGAACACCATCACCGTGCTGCTGAGGCCGGCACAGGGCCGCGGTGCGCCCATCAGGTGGGAAAGTGGGACGGAGGGGTGGGAGGCCAGGGCCGTAGGGAAGAGGCCCCTCTTCTGACCAGAGTCCCAGCCCAGGCCAGCTCGCCCCGTCCTCCCTCAGTCTCCCACACAGGGCTTGGAGTATCTGGAGGAGGATGTTCTGTGATGCTGGGCAGGTGAGACGCCTGCAGTCCCTCCTCTTTGAGGCCCTGGGTCTCAGATGGTTACTGTCACAAGGACCCTGGATAGGTCCAGCCTGGAGAGGGGACTTTCCAGGCCTCTCCAGGGGGCCTTTCCTCAGACACCTTGGAGAAGTGAAACTCTGGGGGCCTTATATCACCCCAGCCTTTTCCTGGGAGCACAGAGATGGGCTTTCTAGAAGGCTGCGGCAGCCAGCCAGACAGGCCATCTCTCTGGAGTGGCTAGGGGCCTGGCTTCTTCACCTCCTCTCCCCAGAGGAAGCTGGGCCTGCTGGGGCCATGGTGGCTGCCACTGCTGGGGAGACGGTGCTGGAGATACGACTGTGTGTGTGTGTGTGTACATGGTATGTGAACCTGGGGGTGTGTGTGTGTGTGTGTGTACATGGTATGTGAACCTGGGTGTGTCTTTGTGAGAAGACATGGGACATGTGGTGTGAGCATGTGTGAGAGGTGTGTGTGGGACATAAGTGTGCATGTGTGTGAGTGTGAGGGTATTTGTGTAAGTGTGTGCGTGTGCTGTTAGCCAGACCCCATGCTAGGGGCTTGATCTACATGAAGCCATTTATCCTTATGGCAGCCTGTGGAATGGGTATTATATCAGGAAGCTGACTCGGAGAGCCTAAATCACTTGCCCCGAAGGCCACACGGCCAGTAAGTGGTGGAGCTGGGTATTGGAACCCAGGTCTGCCTGCTATGCCTGTACCTTTCCTAGAAGTCATCGAGCCTCCCTGCCCTTCTAGTCCACCCCTTCCTTCCACGAAGCTACATGCACTGGGAGAGGGTGACAGCCTTTAGGTGTGGGGTGTGAGGGTCCTAGTCAGTTTCCCAGGAAGATAGTGGGCTGCCCAGGTGACCATAGCCGTCCCTTACCTCCTCGTCCCCCACTGTATCCTATCCTCTTCTGCTTTGTCCTCCCTGTATTTGCCATTGCAAATCCTGTCCTGGGCCAATTCCTAGACCCTCAGGGAAGACCCAGGAAAAAGTCATGGGGTCTGCAGGGCCTTTGCCTTTTTCTGGCGCTGCAAGGCCCTTGTGCTGCTGAGTCTGGGAGGGGCTGGGAACCCTTCCTTCCTTGTCCTCTTGAGGAATCCTGTGAGCAGGTCTGGTCAGGGTCCCTCAGGATGACAATTGCAAGGCTGGTTGGGGGCAAGGGGTGGGTTATGGTGGGAGGGGAGCTGCAGGATGGCTGTGTGACCCTGGGCATCTCTCTTTACCTTCCTGAACCTCCATTTCTTTATCTGCACAATGGGGATTGTTCTAGATTAAGATGCACTTTGTTCATGGCTAATGTTAATGATTACCTCCTGGTGGGACTTGGGGCTGGGAGAGGTCTCAGCCTGGGGTACTGGAGGCTGAGAGGGGCTGGGACTGGTGTTTATAATGGGCTAGTGACAAGCAGTGGGCTGGTGTCCAACACTCTGGGATGATTCCCCACAACTTGGATGCTCAAAGGAAACATCTGGTGAGCAAGGAAAAGGCATTTCTACTTCCCCGAGCAGAGGCTGTCAGTATGGGATGTCACACACCAAGATGTGACTGAGACTGTAACTGGAAATATTTAAATTTGTCAGGATTCACACATTTACTCTCCACTTTGTTCTGCAGAGCATTTGGAGGAGCTCATAGCAGAAACCTACTTGGTAAAGAGATAAAACAATCAGAAACACAGCTGGGACAGGGAGCACAAAGCAGAGTGGGCAATCAGGACCCTGAGACAGCAGGGCTCTGATTTGCTGATGAGAGGCTGCCTCAGCGTTGAGAGGGTGCTAGAGACATAGTGCTAGGTGTCCTTGTTTGCTAAGTGACTGTCTCTCTCACTAGAGGTCAGTTTTAGGAAGCCCAGATGCCTAGTGTCTAGCACAGGGCTCATGATCTGAGCTCAGTCAATTCTTTCTGAATTAATCTGGCTAATCCCATAAGTTACTGAGTCTCAGAAGGGCACTGTCAGTAGCTTTGGTTTCCCAGGTCTTGTGTCACACACACAGGAGGATTCATGGAGGAAGCAGGGTGGGGCCTTATGGCTTGGTTGTGTTGAGCAGGGCCCACGATCCTCTTAGCCCGGGTTAGTAACAGAAATAACCGCTGGCATGTGCTGGCTGCTTGCTTAACTTGCCTGTTCTTCCCATCTATCTCTTGGAACAGCCTCGAAATCACTTCTATTTTATGGAGGAGGAAACCGAGGCCCAGAGAGGTTAGGGGACTTGCCCAGCTAGTAAGGGACTTGCCCAGCTAGTAAGCCCCTAGGAGGGCTTGACCACAAAGCCCATGCCTTTAACTGCCAGTGGGCTCTCCCGGTCCTCTGGCCGCCTGTGATCCCCTGTACTCTCTCCTCCCTGTCCAGTGTGTACCAGGTGATTGTGGAGGAGGAGCGGCCACGGAGGCTGCGGCGGGAGCCAGGTGGACAGGATTGCTTCCCAGTGCCACTGACCTTCGAAGTGGCACTGGCCCGAGGCCTGGTGCACTACTTCGGGGCTGAACTGGCGGCCAGCAGTCTACCTGAGGCCATGCCCTTTACCGTGGGTGACAACCAGACCTACCGAGGCTTCTGGAACCCACCGCTTGAGCCTAGGAAGGCCTATCTCATCTACTTCCAGGCAGCAAGCCACCTGAAGGGGGTGAGGGACCCGCCAGGGTCATGGTGGGGTGATTGGGGGTGTGGAATGGCAGGCAAGGGATACCTTGCAGCAGACCCAGCACAGACTCCAGGCCCCACCCTTCCCATGGCCCCGTCTCCTAAAGCTCCTCCTCCCATAGCACCCCCATAGCCCTATTTTCCGCAGCCCCACCTCCGATAGCCCGCCCCTACAACACCGCCCCCACAGCCCCTCCCATAGCCCTGCCTCCTGTAGCCCCACCTCCCATAGCCCCACCTCCAATAGCCTTACCTCCCATAGAGCCACTCCCACAGCCCCACCTTCCACAGTCCCGCCTCCCATAGCTCGTCCTCCTACAGCCCCTCCTCCCATAGTCCTTCCTCCCATAGCCCCTCCCCCCTAGTCCTACTCCTCCCATAGCCACCCCTCCTGACCCCAGGCTCATTGTCACAGAGCACTACTGGCTTCCTGAGCCTTCTTTCCTAGGCTCTTCCTTTGTATCCAGGTCCCCAGTCTAGTTTGCCTCTTCCTGAGGCTCTGCCTTCTGTCTTAGATGCTTCTTTTCCCAGAGAAGCCCATATCAGGTTCCTGCATTACCGCTTTGAGGCCTAGGACCCGCCTTCTCCCCGAAACCCCGCCCTATCCTTCAGGATCCTCCCTCCTCTGCTTGCTTGGTTTCCCCCTTCCTAGCTAGTCCTCTGGCCCTAAGCCCCGCCCTGATGCTTGAGGCCCCGCCCATTTCCCCATGGTGTTTGTTTCTCTCTTGCCTCCGATCTCATCCCCCTTTCCTAAGGCACTGCAGGTGCCTCCCCTCTAGCCCCCACTCTCAAGGGTCTTCCCAGGCCTTCCTTTGGGTGGAGTGTCCTTAGATGCCATCAGCACCAGACAAAGCCCTGAACAGGCTCAAGAAACGCTGCCTGAGGTTCCCACCCTGGGGAGGGAGAGGTCGGGGCTTCAGCAGTGCTGAGACCCCCATCTGTGCCTCCAGGAGACCCGGCTGAATTGCATCCGTATTGCCAGGAAAGGTAAGTCCACTGGGTTCCTGCAGCCCTTCAGCAGCAGGTTTCTCACCTGCCCAGCGCTGGGGTGGTGGATCCAGAGGACCTAGGGCTGTGGGAGTAGAGGACGGCCGTCGGGCAGGCCTGGGGCTAGGAGGGGCTTCTTTGCTGGGTTTCCATGTGCACTACCTCAAGGGCTCCTCCCAGGCTGACAGCAGGGGCCTGGAGCAGGCCTGTGGAGAGGAGCCATTATAGTTGGGCCCTGGGTTTTTGGGTACTGGGTACTGGTTCTGGGTTATGTATCTGCCCAGCTTTCCTGTGGTGGGGGAGAAGGTGGGGTCAGCATGGGCTCTGTGCTGTAGGGATCGTTCCTGCTTCCAGACAGGGAATGTGGTTGGCTTCCCATCCTGAGATGCACTAACCGTGCCCTAGGTACACAATTGCTGATCCTTATTACCTCCCAGGAGGGTGAGAGGGTGGAGCTGAAGGCCCAGGTGTCTGCTCTCCCCTATCCGCTGAGATTTGGGAGGATATTAGAAAGTGGAGAGCGAGAGAAGCTATTCCTGATAAGGGAGCCATGTCAATGAGGACTGTGACTCATAAGTGCAGAAAGTATCAGGAATGGTGAGGAGGTAGATTTGCTCAAAAGGCAGGACACGTGTTGAGCATGTGGGGCGGTTTATGCATGTGTGTTTGTGTAGCCCAGTTTGTTCCCTGGGCACAGACCCCTGCAGGAGGGGCTCAGTGGTCCCTGTCTCCCCTCTGATCCCTTACTCTGCTTTGTTCTCTCCCCAGCTGCCTGCAAGGAAAGCAAGCAGCCCCTGGAGGTATCCCAGAGATCGGAGGAGATGGGGCTTATCCTGGGCATCTGTGCAGGGGGGCTTGCTGTCCTCATCCTTCTCCTGGGTGCCATCATTGTCATCATCCGCAAAGGGTGAGTGAGGCCGGTGCCCTGTCCCACCAGTGGCTTCTACCCCTTAGAGACCTGGTGGCACAGAGGAGTAGAGGCTTAGAGCTGGTAGGGCAGCTGCCCTGCAGGTGTGTGGAGGGCTGCCAGCTTGGGCATCTGCTCTGCCGATGGATCTGAGCTGGGCAGAGGGCTGCCCCAGAGTATATACCTGTACCCAGAGTACAGGTCTGGCTGGTGCCAAGTGCTACTGTTCAGGGAGGGGCCCGCAGTGCCTGGTGCCAAGGAGCTGTGCTTGCTGGGACTGTTTCAATAGGGAGGGCATGGAGGTGACCTGGCTTTGGACCCCTACCCCCTGCAGACCTTCAGCTCATGGGATTGTGCAGTTGACCCTGAGCAGGGGGCTGGTTCTCACACCTCTTCAAACCAAAGGCCTTGATTTGTCCAAGGTTATTCCTGGGCTCCACTTTGGGCTCAGCTTTCCCTGGACCCTGTTACTGTGGATCCCTGAGGAGCCCTCCTGGGCCCGTGACTGAGAAACTCATCCCCCTGCTGCTCCTACCATCCCCCAGCTCTCAAAGTTCCAGTCACATGTTTGCATGAAATGTTTCTTAGTGGATTTGCAGAGGGCAGCACAAATCCCAGTACATTGTAGAATTCAGAACCTAGGATCTTGTAGTTTCAGACATGTAGGATTCAGGACTCTAGGAATCTTAGGCTTTAGAATTGTAGAGGCTCAGAGCCCCAGAACGTAAGAGCTGCTGGGTAGTTCAAGGCCATCCAGTGTAATGGTTTTCAAGTCTTTTTAAAGAAATAGAATCTGCCTTCAAAACACCAGAAAACCCTTCCCTGGGAGCCTGGTACATGGAGCACATGAAGGCTGAGCAGCAGTTCTGGTTGGAGGCTGGGTGGCGGCTTCTGAGACCTTTCTGCTTGCCAGCTCTGCCCACCATGCTCCCCACCGGGCAGCCGTGGGACACTGTGGTCTAAGCATCTTCAATAAGTGATAGGGATGCGGAGGCTTAGAGGGGGCGCAGGCCTGCCCAAGGCCACCCAGAGAGCCAGAGGCAGAGCCAGCTCCACCCTTCCCCACCTGGGCTCTGGCTTCTATAGCCCCTGCTGCTGCCAGGCTGGGCACATGTGGTTGAGTTGGCTGTATTTCTGGGCTGCCGGGAGCAGATAAGTAGGATCCAGGAAGATGAGAGAGAGAGAGCTGGCTGGGGCCACCTTGCCTGAGGCCAGATACCAGCAAGAGAGAGAGTCTAGGGGTGGAGTGTGCAGCGGAGTGGAAGAGATGTGGGGGGATGGCCCAGCCAGGGCGATATGCTCTGATTTTTCCCCTAATTGTCCCTGCACAGCTTTAAGAGAGACTATTTTAGGTATCATTTAATGAGGGATTGCTATGTGCCAGGAGCTTCACACACATCATCCATGAGTACATTAGTTATTGGGCACCTACTGTGTGCCAGGCACTGTTCTGGCACTCAGGATGTGTTACAGAACATTTCCTTCTTGGATCTTGACTGACTTCCTTTTTTTCTGGATGAAGAAACTGTAATGAAAGCACCTAGCCCAGGCCGCTCGGCTGATGAGCGGTAGGCCTGACTTCAGTTCAGGCTCGCCTACAAGTGTGAAGGCCTCACCGAGTCTGGTGCACAGGAGGTGCCTCCAAAGTGGCAGGCCCCTGATTTCTCTCCAGCATTGGCTTGATGAGTGACTCTAAGTAGGGCTGCGGCGGGAGAGGGCTATAATTAGGAGGAGGCAGATTTCAGTTTCAGGTGGTATTTGAGGTCCTAGAAATCTATGCTCAAGGAAAGAGGATAGGCAGAGTGGGGGGTGTCACCCACCCCGGCAAAGAGAGCTCTGGGCCCAGGACAGGATAGATCAGAAATGTTGTCAGGGCCTTACTAGGAAAGCTTCCATTATATATTTGCTACCCCATAAACCCAGGCTACCCCAGATGCCTCCAGGAACCCCTTGTCCCCCTCACCCTGCACCTCCTTACTTCCCCTAAAAGCCATCAGTCTCCCTGCGTAGCACCTGCTACATCCCCCTGGATCTGAGCCTGGCCTTCAGGGCCCTCTGTGCTCCCCAGGGCCCTTGTGGTCTGCATTGTGGGTATCATGGGACACAGAGGCTCTGGCAGGGATGGAGGTGTTCCCGTCAACTTGGGGTGCCAACATAACCAACAAGAGGAGGGCAGTTGCCACGCCCCCGTGGAGCCTTATTGGAGGCAGGAGGGAATCCCAGGGGGATTATGGGAAACAGAGGCCAGTTGGGAGGAGATTTCAGATTCTCTGTCTTGCCCTGCCTCTGTGGACGATCAGACTGGATGCATCTGCCGTAGGGGAATTCTAGGGCCTGGAAGGGAGGCTGGTGACCCCAGGCCAGGTCAGATCCCCTAGCTCTGCTTCCAGAAGCCCCCACACCCTACCTTTCTCCATGGCAGCACTTTCTTCTCCCTGCACATTGTCATTTACTTACTTGTAGTGTTTTGCTCAATGCTTGTCTTGCCTGCTGGGTTAAGAGCTTCATGAGGGCAGAGAAAGCCCTGTCTTGTTTCTGGGTATCTCCATGGTCTAGTCAAGGGGAGTCGGGTCTCCCCACTCTGAGATGGAGGGAGACAGGGAGGAGTGGATTGTGGGCACTGCTGGGTGCAAACTTCCCGGTGCTGGGACCTCACAGCAGCCCCTGTGGGGGATTATTATTAACCTCACTATGTGTGTGTGTGTGTGTGTGTGTGTATGTATGTATGTATGTATGTATGTAAGTATGTATGTATGTACGTATTTTTTGAGACAGAGTTTTGCTTTTATTGCCCAGGCTGGAGTGCAGTGGTGCAATCTTGGCTCATTGCAGTCTCCGGTTCCTGGGATTACAGGTGCCCGCCACCACGCCTGGCTAATTTTTTGTATTTTTAGTAGAGTTGGGGTTTCATCATGTTGGACAGGCTGGTCTCAAACTCCTGACCTCAGTTGATCCACTTGCCTTGGCCTTCCAAAGTGCAGGGATTACAGGTGTGAGCCACCACACCCGGCCTTAACCTCACTTTTTAAAGAGGGAAGTGGAAGTGCAAGGAGGTGAAGTTCTTTTATTTATTTTTACTAATTTATTGATCATTCAACAAAATATTTTTGGGGGATTACAGTGTGTGGGGCCCTGGGAGAACCAGGAGGAGACAAAAAGACAAGGATTCTGTCCTCCTGTTCTTTGTAGCCAGCGGAGAGCCTGGCATGAAATTAGAAAAAACACAAACAGATGAGATAATTACAAATTGTGAAAGGAGCAAGGTGCCGGGTGTTGGGGGCAAAGAGAATTTGGGAGACCTCATGTAGCTGGCACTTGTGGGAGAGTGGTCCGGGAATAAGCTTTTGAAAGCACAATGTGTCATCTGAGGCCAGTAGAATATAATTTCTTATTTCTTTTTTTTCATACAGAGTCTCACTCTGTCACCAGGCCGGAGTGCAGTGGCATAATCTCGGCTCACTGCAATCCCCACCTCCTGGGTTCAAGTGATCCCCCTGCCTCAGCCTCCCAAACAGCTGGGACTACAGGTGCACACCACCATGCCTGGCTAATTTTTTATATTTTAGTAGATGGGGTTTCACCGTGTTGGCCAGGATGGTGTCGATCTCCTGACCTTGTGATCTGCCCATCTCAGCCTCCCAAAGTGCTGTGATTACAGGCATGAGCCACCGCGTCCAGCCAAAAGAATGCCATTTCTTCAGCTGTGTCCTCCCTTGTGGGGCCTCTGCAACAGCCCCAGTGCCTTGGACCCTCCTCACTCTCCCTGGGATGGAGGAGATGTGCTCTGTGACCTGGGGCCAAGTTCCTGCCTTTGCTGGTCCATCTTCTGTCTCCGCCCCTTCATCTGCAGGTTTCCAATGGAAGGCCATTCGCTGGGGTCCCTGCTGATGGGGTGATGTGGGGGAGAGTGAATGGAGAACTCTGGAGAGCCTGGGTGGGGCTTTGGAAGGGAGCACAGAGGAGATTCCAGGGCTAGGGTCTTGGGGCAGGTGTCTGGAAGCCTAGGGTCTGCTCGGGACTCTGCCACTGACACCCAGAGAGAGGCCTAGGCAGCCTATCTTCCCTGACTCAGCTTTGCTGACTGTCAAGTGGGAATCTGACCTGCTTTACACTGTGGGTGCTTTGCAGCAAAGTGGGGCTCTTGACTGAAGCTGTACCCCAGGTGCTCCCATAGGGGATGACCTGGCTACTTTAGTGGATCCCACACCCAGGGCAGGGTGGGTGAAGGCGGGCCCTAGGTGTATCCTGGGCATCCATCTGGAGTTCTCTCCACCCCATCCCCTCTCTGTCCCTACCCAGGTGGAAGTGCAGGCAAAGGGCTGACCCCTTAGGGACAGAGGGCCCTGCAGGGAGGGAGGGCGGGGTGCTGTCTTCAGGGACAAAAACAGCCCTGGTAAGCTCAGTTACCCTCAAGAGTATGAGTCTGTGTGTGTCAGGGGATGTCTAATGTGTGTAAGTGTGTGTTTGTGAATATATGTCTGTGTAAGTGAATGTGTGTCAGTGTGTTTGAATACACGTGTATGCCTGTGTTTTCACCTGTGTGTCTGCATTTGTGAGTGTGCATGAGTGTGTGTTGATGTGTGTTTCTCTGTGTATGAGTGTATGTGAACATGTACCTATATGTGTGTGTTTGTGTGAGTGTGCATATGTGTATGACTGTGTGTGAAAGCTCTGTGGCCCCCAGGCCCTTTTCCGCACCTCCTCCTCACTTCTGCAGTAGGCTTGGGGAAGGTTCCAGAGGGGCCTTGGGTCCTGGTCCTTAATGTCTCAGCCTGACCAGCATTTGGGACCAGGAAGGTCTTTCTGACCTGTCCAGTCCTTGGCCAGCCCCTCCCCAGCCCGGGAAGCACCCAGGCCTGCCCTGCTGCCTGGGCATTGCCTCAGCCTGGCCTTGGTGGATGGACCTGGGACACGACTGTGCTGTTCTCTCTTTGCATGCTGCCAGGAGAGACCACTATGCCTACTCCTACTACCCGTAAGTAGCTCCACCTGGCCTGGGAGGCCCCCACCCTCTCTGGCTGGGCTCGGGCTCACTGCACCGGCCTGGCCTGGTGTCCACCCCATTCTCTGTGGTCACCTCAGCCTCTGACTTTCCCTCCCCTGCTCTGTCCCTCCCCTCTGCATCTTCCTCCTCAAGTCGTGGTTGTAAGTGCTGGCTCTGCTCCTCAGAGGCATGGGTTCAGAGCTGGCCTTGCTAAGTCACCCTGGCAAGTCCGTGAGCCTCAATGTCCCCTCTACCACTAGAGCAGCCCCTTACGTCCTTGAACTGTTCCTGGTGGCTAGAAGGATGTCCTGACCTCTGACCAAATCCACGTTCAGGACACAGGTCCCGCTCTGGAGTCCATGTCCATGTGCCTGTGTGTGCTTGTGTGCATGTGGGTGGGGCCTACCTCTTCTGACACCGGAAGCTCCTTCCATAGCAGAGGCAACTCGGGCCCCCACAAGTCCCTTCTCCAGCTGGGCAGCTCCAGCTCTGCAGACCCACCACTTCCTGGGAGCCTCCTCTGGGCCAAGCCCTAGGCTCTCTTCTGGACACAGAGTCCTCACAGCAGCTCTGAGAAATAGCTATTATCACTCCCACGTTACTGATGAGGAAACTGAGACTCAGAGAGGCCAAGGGACTTGTGGGAGGTCACAGAATGTGCCGGAGCTGGGACACAACCCAGGGCCCTGCTGACTCTGCAGCCTACTCTGTCTTCTGTCTCCGTCTTCTCCTCTGTAAACCTTCCAGAACATTCCTCCTGCACCTGTGCTGCTTTTCCCTCCCTTGAAGAGCAGGCCCAGATGGTGCTGGGCCAGCCCCGAGGACAGCGGGTCTCTCACCTCCTCCTCCTTGGGTGGCTCCTTACCTTACTCTTTCCCGACATGAGCTTTTCCAGCAACTCAACACCCAGCGACTCCGCTGAGCCCCGGACTCGGCTCCTGCAGGGGCTGCGGACAGGCCGCTCTCCCTCCCCACTGCTTGTGCAGTTAGTTTTCAAAGCCAGATGCAGAACTTTCCAAAGTGTCTGTATTAAATTCCATCTGCTGAATCTCGCACTGAGCTCAGCTGGATGCCAGCGGCGTTAGTGTCCCTCCCGGGTTCCGGCGTCTGTGGATCCGGTTGGTTTGTTTCTCCAAGGCTGGGAACAGAGCTGTGGCACGACCGGAGACCGCCTCTAGGCCAGCATCCGCTCACTGACAGGGCCTCTCTGGGCTCCTTGTGCAGCCACGCTGGCCGGCTGTCCTCTGTCTGTGGCCCTGTCTGTCTTTCCTGTGGCTTGCTGGTCTGGCCTGTCCCTCCCTCTCTCTCTGTCCCCTCCCCCATCTCTCTTTCTCCTTGTTTTTTTTTTTTTTTTTTTTTAATAGAGACGAGGTTTCACCATGTTGCCCAGGGTGGTCTTGAACTCCTGAGCTCAGGTAATCCGCCTGCCTCTGCCTCCCAAAGTGTTGGGGTTTCAGGTGTGAGCCACCACACACGGCCTCCCCTTGTTACTGTCTCTTTCTTTTCTCTTCTCCTCCTTCTCTGTCTGCCCCTAATCCCTTCCCCACTCAAGGTGGTCATGGTCACAGCCACAGAGGCTGCTCCTCACCTGCCCCCAAAGGGGGCTTTGGCTCCACCCTGGGCCATAGTCAGGGGGATGCCCAGAGCCTGGCAGGGGCTAGAGGTAGGAGGCCTGGGCCTGCTGAGCTGTCTCCCATCCAGGCTGGAAAGGCCGTGTCCTCCTCAGTGCCCGACAGCAGTGGTCCCGGTGGGGACACACAGCAGTCTTCTTAGCACGGGAAGGACATCCTGGTCCTGGCAGGAGGGGCATCCAGAGGTCATCCTGTCCTTCCCTTGCCCCAGGACAGGCTGGCTGGGGTTTGCCTATCTGGGAAGATCCTTTCATTGGCCTCCCTGTCTCCATGGATGGTTGGTGTCCCTGAGCCCATGTAACCTGGAAGTCCTTTCTCAGGTCTACCCTGCATCCTGCATGCTGTAGGGCCAAGCAGGTGAATAGCTCTCTCCTCTTGAGCTTTCCCTATGATTGGACCTATCTCTTCCAGCTTCAATGGGGGTCTCAAGTCATTTCCTCTTTGCCTGTTTTTTTTTCTCTCTTTACCCCTTGATCATGGAGCTGTCCCCTGCCTCCTCCTTTTCTTCCTCCCATTTTCCTCCAAGTTCCTTTGAAGTCACAAACTGCCATCCTTATCCATGAAGCTGGGCCTGGAGGGAGAGGAGGACTCTCGCCCTCTTCCCTGCTGCTCTGAGCAGCAGGATGGACTGCTGGGGAGTGGTGGGGATGTGGACCTTCTGTGGGTCTCTTTATAAGTCTGTGGTGGTCCATGCTGGGACCATCCTAGGGGCTTCTGGGAGTAGGGAGAAGCCAAGAGTGGAGTTCATTCTGTGTATGGGGGAAGCCCCCGAACCCTGGCTCAGCATGAGCCAGACCCTCTGCAGGGAAGGAGGGGTGTAGTCCCTCCTTCCTGCAGGAGAAAGAGGAGTCGGGAGAGCGGTTTCTGTTTAACACAGGGAGAAGAGAGAGAGTGGGGACATGCCTGGCCTGGAGCTGGGCCAGCCATATAACTAATTTGAGGTGCAGTTCGGGCGAGGGGAGCTGTCTGCTGTGACACCAAATTAGCCCTGGAGTGACTTTCTTTCCCATTTCCTAAGCCCAGGGGGCTGGTGAAACTTAGGAGTGGATCCCAGCCTCAGGCCACTGCTGCTCCACCCCTTTCCCTTAGCAAAGGTCCCCGGGTTGGGCTCTGCCAACCCCTTTTTGGGGAGGCAGCAGCTCTTTGGGTCTGGGGAGTGAAGGATGGAGGCAGAGCCCTCAGCATCCAGAGATGCTTCCAGGACAGCTGCTGGCTCCTGACCTTGAGGCCCCCTTACTCCAGGGCCTCCCCTCCCACCTCTGCGTGCTGTTTAGCCCCACACGGTGCCTGTGTCTCCCCTCAACGCCCCCTCTAGGAAGCCGGTGAACATGACCAAGGCCACCGTCAACTACCGCCAGGAGAAGACGCACATGATGAGTGCCGTGGACCGCAGCTTCACAGACCAGAGCACGCTGCAGGAGGATGAGCGGCTGGGACTGTCCTTCATGGACACCCATGGCTACAGCTCCCGGGGTGAGTGCCCGGCCCTCCTACCCCTTCCTCATGGCTCTGGGGCTCCCGACCTGAGACAGTAGGATCCCCATATCAGATGAGTTCTATAACACCTCCAACCCAAAGTAAAGCATCTATTATCCTCCTGCTGGATACCTGCTGGATACAGAGACAGCACAGGTGGGGTTTTTGCACTGTGTCCTGGAGGAGCTTGTAAGGAATTCTGCTAGCATAAGAGGAGTGCGAGGTCCGTTGTGACAACTGTCAAAGAGGAGGCGCTGCTGCAGGAACAGGGATCAGAGTGGCCTCACCCCTTGTTGAGCACCTGTTATGTGAGAGGTGGGGATACAGTGGCTGAGAGAGATGGAGATAGAGTCAGACCTGGGCTTGCCTCTCCCTTTCTTAGCTGTGTGACCCGGGGCAAGTCGCTTAAGCCCTCTGGATATCTGTTTCCTCGTGTATAAAATGGGAATGAAGATTGCCTCTGCTGGTAGGGCGGATGTGAAGACTAAATGAGATAATGTGTGCAAAATCACTCAGGGCTGTGCTTGCATTCGCAGAATATGGTGAGTCAGCCATCAGATACTAGGTTTGTGTCATAACTGGCTTCATTCTGCATCTTTTCTGTTTAGTGTTGATTCGTACAGAAGAGAATATGTAATGTTTCTGAAAGTCATAAAATTATAACAATACAACAAACACCAATGAACCTCATTGGTTAATTAGAACATTATCTTGGTACACTTCCCTAGCTATGTCCCCTACCTCTTTCTTAGCTGTAAATATTCTCTTGAATTTTTTTTTTTTTTTTTTTTTTTTTTTTTTTTTTTTTTAGACAGCTCACTGTAACCTCCACCTCCCAGGTTCAAACGATTTTCTTACCTCAACCTCCCAAGTGGCTGGGATTACAGACACCTGCCACCACACCCAGCTATTTTTTTGTATTTTCAGTAGAGACAGGTTTCACCATGTTGGCCAGGCTGGTCTCGAACTCCTGACCTCAAGTAATCTGCCTCTCTCTGCCTCCCAAAGTGCTGGGATTACTGGCATGAGCCACTGTGCCCAGCCTCCCTTGAAATTTGTGATTTTAATTTTCTTACCTTTTTAGGGAGTAGTTTTACTATGTGTGCATGTATCTCCAAATAATGCATTATATAGTTTTGCTCATTTTCAGGCTTTATAGAAATGCAATCACACTATACTTTTTAACTCAACATCATATTTCCAAAATTTACCCATGTGGATGTTTTGCTGCAGTTCATTTACTTTCTCTGATGTGCAGTTTCCCATTGTATGGCTAAATCACAATTTACTTCTCCATTCTGCCATCCATGGGCATTTGATTGGTTTTCAGTTTTCTTGTTATCACAAATGAGACTGCTGCGAATATTCTGATGTGGATCTCTAGATGCACCTGCATACAAGGTTCTAGAAATAGAATCGCTGGATTATGGAGTACGTGAATCTTCAGCTTAATAAGAGTGCCAAGTTGCTTTCCAAAGCGGCTCTGCCTGTTTTCTTTCCTAGCAGCAGTGTGTCAGACTTTTCTGTTGCTCTACATCAAGATCAAATTTGCCAGCCTTCTTCACTTCTGCCACATTAGTTTGTATAAAATGGTAATTCTCTATAGTCTTAATTTGCATTTCACTGATTACTAATGAGATTGAACATATTTTCAAGTCATCACTGGCCATTCAGGTCTCTTTTTCCGTGAAATGCCTGTTCATGTCGTTCACCTAATTTTCTATTGGGTTTTCTGCTGCTTTCTTAGTGGTTTTTAGGAGTTTTTTATATATTTAGGATAATAATCATTTGTCACTTATGAATTGCAAATATCTTCTCTCAATTTGTGGCTTATCTTCCTAGATTATTTATAGCGTCTTTGGGTGAACAGATTTTTATTTTCATGTACTTAAATTCATCAGTCTTTCTTTGTGATTTCTACTTTTGTGTTTTTTAAAAGAATTTTTCCCTATCCAAAGTCATAAAGTATTTTTTTTGCTTTTTTTTTCTAGAACTTACAACATTTTACATTTTATATTTAAATCTTTATCCATCTGGAATTGATTTTTGTGTGTGGTGGTATAAATTAAGGGTTTTATTTTTTCCATGGCGATAAGGCACTGTCCCAGGATCATTTATTACAGTTCACGCTTTCCCTGCTGATTTGTAGTGGCACACTCATACATCACATTTCTACAGATATGTGGATCATTTTTTAGTTCCCTGTTTCTTTCATTGGTCAGTTTGGTTGATTTCCATGCTAGTATCACGCAATCTAATTATTGATACTATCTAGGTCTTGCTATTTGAAACAGGAAGCTCTCCCAACTTTGTGCGTCATCAAGGATGTCTTGGCTATTTTTGTTTTCATTCTCTCTCTCTCTTTTTTTTTTTTTCCTCAGCAAGAATGTCCGATAGGACAAGGACTCTCTTTCTCTTTCTTTCTTTCTTTTTTTTTTTAAAGTTTTTTTTTTTTTTTTAAAGATGGGGTTTCACCATGATGGCCAGGCTGGTTTTGAACTCCTGACCTCAGGTGATCCACTCACCTCGGCCTCCCAAAGTGCTAGGATTACAGGTGTGAGCCACCATGCCCGGCCTCTTTCTCTCTTTCTTAATGAGATGGGGCTTAGCTCTGTCACCCAGGCTGGAGTGCAGGGCACAATCTGGGCTCACTGCAACCTTCGCTTTCTGGGCCCAAGCAATCCTCCCACCTCAGCCTCCCAAGGAGTGGGGACCACAGGGGTGTACCACCATGCTTGGCTAATCTTTGTATTATTTTTATTATTTTTTGGTAGAGACAGTGTTCCTCTATGCTGCTCCAGGGTGCTCTCAAACTCCTGGACTCCAGTGATCTGCCTGCCTCAGCCTCCCAAAGTGTTAGGATTACAGGCATGAGCCATCACACCCGGCTAATTCTCTTTCTTATAAATATTAGAGTCATCTCTTTAAGTTTCTTGAAAAACTTTTTTGGACAGATTTGTGTTGAATTTATAGATCAATTTGGGAAGAACAGACATCTTATGAAATTGTCTTTCTACCCATGAAAGTGATGTATATTACCCCATTTATTTAGGTCTCGAAAGTCTTTCCATAATTTTCTCTATAAAATCTTGTATTTTTTTTTTTTTTAGATATATGGCCCTAGGTCCCTTATTTTTGACTTCTATTATAAATAATACACTTTTCAAATATTACTCTATTTAGAGAGATGCAGTTTATTTTTGATTGTATATTGATTTTATATTCATACTTTTTTTTTTTTTTTTTTTTTTTTGAGACAGAGTCTTGCTCTGTCGCCCAGGCTAGAGTACAGTGGCGCATTCATGGCTCACGCCAACCTCTTCCTCCCAGGTTCAAGCGATTCTCCTGCCTCAGCCTCCTGAGGAGCTGGGATTACAGGTGTGCACCACTATGCCCAGCTAATTTTTGTATTTTTTTTAGTAGAGATGGGGTTTCACCATGTTGATCAGGCTAGTCTTGCACCCCTGACCTTAAGTTATCCACCCAGAGTGCTGGGATTACAGGCGTGAGCCACCGTGCCTGGCCTTATATTTATATTCTTGATACGCTTTCTTATTCTCATTTGTCTATAGAATGTTTCAGACTTTCTGAGCAGTTAAAGGATCTGCGAATATCCTTTGCAGAAGAAACAGTTGTTTTTTTTTTTTGCGTTTCTTATTCTTTTTCCCTGTGTGTTTTGGCACAGTACTGGCTGGGACCTCCAGTACTGCGCTGAGCAGAGTGGTTGTAGCTGGAATCTTTGTCTTCTTTTTTTGACTTTAAAAGGAATATTTCTAACATTTAAACACAGAATAAAGATTGCTTTGGGTTTTTGGTAGAAATGTTGTCATCAGGCTAACCAAGTTCCCTTTAGGTTTTAGTTTGCTGAGAAATTTTATTTTAAGCCAGCATTAAGTTTACCAAATATGTTTTTCTTTAATTATTGTGATAATTATTTTTTCCCCTTTTGTCTGCTAATGAAATGAGTGACATTTTTAGATTAAAAAAAAATTACCTTAAATTCCTGACATAAATTCAACTTGATCCTGATGATGATGATGTTTCTTTTCTTTCTTTCTTCTTTTTTTTCTTTTTTTTTTCCTTTTTGAGATAGGGTCTCACTCTGTTGCCCAGGCTGGAATGCCTGGTGCGATCATGGTTCACTGCAACCTCAACCTCCTGGACTCAAGTGATCCTCCCACTTCAGCCTCCTGAATAGCTGGGACTACAGGCGCCCACTGTCATGCTTCACTATTTTTCTTTTTTTTAATTTTTTGTAGAGACAGGGTTTTGTCATGTTGTCCAGGTTGGTCTCAACCCCCTGGGCCCAAGCAATTTACCTGTCTTGGCTTCTCAAAGTGCTGGGATTACAGGTGTGAGTCACTGTGTCTGGCCAAATTTTAAACTTCTAATTCAATATATTTAAAGGACTAAACAACTATTCAGGCTTTCTATTTTTTTAAAAATAGAAAGTCCCATTTTTGATAAATTATATTTGTCTAGGTATTTGGCCATTTTATTTATGTTTTTAAACTTAGGGTTATGCACTTATTAATCATATTCTCTTTGTAGTCTCTCATTAAATTTTCACCATTTTATACCATTTTACCCTGCTTAGTAGCTGTTTTTTTTTTTTTTTTCGAGACGGAGCCTCACTTTGTCACCCAGGCTGGAGTGCAGTGGTGCAACCCTGGCTCACTGCAACCCTCCGCCTCCCTGGTTCAAGCGATTCTCCTGCCTCAGCCTCCCGAGTAGCTGGGATTACAGGCATGTGCCACCATGCCAGGCTAATTTTTTATTTTTAGTAGAGACAGGGTTTCTCCATGTTGGTCAGACTGGTCTCAAACTCCTGACCTCAGGTGATCTGTCCACCTCAGCCACCCGAAGTGCTGGGATTACAGGCATGAGACACCATGCCCAGCCTACCTGGTGGTCTTATTTGTAGAACATCTTAGGCTCAGCTCTCAGTTGCCCAGATGTGGCTCTGGCTTTTCAGGTGGGACTTTTTGCTTGTCCTCAGCCACTGTGTGCTGATTGCAGGCTCCTTGTGAGGCTGTGCCAGCCCTTCAGGATCCCTGGGATGAAGACTTTGATTCTCTACCACCCTCATTTGCTCTTTTCTCTGCCTGGAGAGCTCTCTGTGGAGCTGTTGGCCCACTTTCCGCAAAGAGCATGAGGGCTTCTCCATCTCACCAGTTTCTTCTCTGAGTTCTTTGAGCCAACAGAAGTCCCTCTTCCTGAACTTTTGCACTTGTCTTGTGTGTGTGCTGTGGATGCTCCTGGGAATCATCTTTTCAAGCTGCCTTTCAGGTCCTGGACCCAAGATCTTATAGCAGAGAAGGACCAAGACTCTTGTCAACCAGCTGCCCTGGCTTTCTGGCACTCTCCCTTTCCTGGAAATGACTAGTAATGTCAACAGCTGCCCTTGTGGGTGTTCGCTGTGTGCCAGGCACTGGGCTGGGTACTTTATATACATTATTATATTTCATATTTATTTACATAATTAGATTGGACAGTAACCATTTTTTCTTCACTTGACATGTAAAAATGGAAGTTTGGAGAGAGCAAGTAACATCCCCATGGTCACATACAGAGCTGGGAATTGATCTGGAGTCTGACTCCAGAGCCCATCTCAATCTCTACATGACACTGTGTTCCCCTGAGGATGTTTCATGAAACAAGCAAGAAAAGCCTTCCATGGCGAAAGGTGTTTATGAAACATTGCTGTTTCCACTCATCTCTTGAAGATTCAAAATGCACACAAACATACTGAAGGCCCCGAGAGGTCCTACGGGGAAGAAACCTGTTTATTTTTTTTTGTTTAAACCAGAATTTTGCAGACTCCTTTAAAACACAGAATTCCTCTTCCTCTTCTTTTTTTTTTTTTTTTTTTTGAGACAGAGTCTTGCTCTGTCACCTAGGCTGGAGTGCAGCAGTGCAACCCTGGCTCACTGCAGCCCTCCACCTCCCGGGTTCAAGTGATTCTCCTGCCTCAGCCTCCTGAGTAGTTGGGATTACAGGTGCATGCCACCATACCTGGCTAATTTTTGTACTTTTAGTAGAGATGGGGTTTTGCCATGTTGGTCAGGCTGGTCTCGAACTCCTGACCTTGTGATCCGCCCATCTCGGCCTCCCAAAGTGCTGGGATTATAGGCGTGAGCCACCATGTCCTGCCTCTTTCTCTTCTTCTTAATGGAATACCACTTAATCATCTTGCATACCTACTATTTTCTGAAACACTTTGGCAACCACTATATTAGGCCAGTCTGTTTTCTTTGGACCTCAGTTTCCCCATTTGTTGAAATTAAGGGTTTGGGCATCCCACCACAATGGCATAACTGGTACTTGACTTGCCTTCTAGCTGTAAGCAACCAGAAATCCAGCTGAAGTATAGGAATCAATTGCTTTCAGACACTGAACTATAGGGAGCTCAGGACTGTGGTTCCTGAGAGCAGAGAAACAAATGAGATGAGTCCGTCTTCAAACCATGGCACAGGAAGGTGGAACGCAGGTACAATGGGGCAGCCTCCATGACCTGGTTGGAGTTTGGGGAAGTTGAGCTCATCAGGGGGTCTCCTGATGATCCTGCCTTCATTCTGCCAGTTAGTCGTTGAGTAGGAATTCTAGGCTGCGCACCGGAGAGGCTTCTCACAGGGAGGGGCATTTCAGCTGAGAGTTGAAGGATAAGTATTAGTTCATCAGGCAAGAAAAGTAGGGTAGGAGGGGTTTTGGAGGGAGAAGGCACAGGGAGGAGGGGCAGGTGTCTAGGCCCCACTAACTCTCCCCCACTGGTCCCTGCCAGCTTAGTCTAAGCAGAGATTAGCTCGAAAATATGGGGAGGGCTGGACTTGAATAAGCCCCTTGCAGCCTCACCCAGGACTGGAGGAGGGACGTGAGTACAGGCATGCACCATACAATGAAGTTTTGGTCAACAGTGGGCCACATACACCATGTGGTCCCATAAGATTACAACAGAGCTGAAAAACTCTTATCACCTAGTGACATTGTAGTCGTCATAATGTCATCATGCCATGCATTACTCACTTGTTTGTGGTGATGCTGGAGTAAACCTACTGTACTGCCAGTTGTAAAAAAGTCTAGCACATACAAATATGTGCAGTACATAATAGTTAATAACGACTGTGTTACTGGTTTATGTATTTAATATACTATACTTTTAATCGTTATTTTAGTGTGTACATATTTAAAAAAAAGTTAACTGTAAAACGGCCTCTGGCAGGTCCTTCAAGAAGTGTCCCAGAAGAAGGCACTGTTTTCATAGGGGATGACAGCTACGTGTGTGCTGTTGTCCCTAAGGACCTTCCAGTGGGACAAGATGTGGAGCTAGAAGACAGTGATGCCAGTGATCCTGACCCTGTGCAAGCCTAGGCTGATGTGTGTGTTTGTGTCTTCATTTTTAACAAAAAGATTTTAAAACAGAAAAAAGTACATAGAATAAGGATAAAAAACATTTTTGTATGGCTGTACTATGTGCATTTATATTAAGCTGTGTTATTACAAAAGTCAAAAAATGCAAATGAAAAAATTTCAGTAAGCTAAGGTTAATGTATTTTTGAAGAAAGAAAAATATTTTTAAATAAATGTATTGTAGCTTAAGCATACAGTGTTTATAAAGTCCACGGTAGTGTACAGTAATGTCCTAGGCCTTCAGATTCACTCACCAGTCACTCACTGACTCACCCAGAGCAGCTTCCAGTCCTGCCAGCTCCATTCATGGTAAATGCCTTATACAGGTATACCATTTATTATGTTTTATTATTATTTTTTTTGGACAGAGTCTCGCACTGTCACCTGGGCTGGAGTGCCGTGGCATGATCTCGGCTCACTGCAAACTCTGCCTCCTGGGTTCAAGCGGTTCTCCTGCCTCAGCCTCCCAAGTAGCTGGGATTACAGGTGCCCGCCACCACACCCAGCTAATTTTTTGTATTTTTAGTAGAGATGGGGTTTCACCATGTTTGCCAGGCTGGTTTCAAACTCCTGACCTTGTTATTCACCCGCCTCAGCCTCCCAAAGTGCTGGGATTACAGGCTGAGCCACTGAGCCCGGCCCATTTATTATATTTTATAGCGTATTTTTACTGTGCATTTTCTGCGATTAGATACAGAAATACTTACCATTGTGTTATAATTGCCTATAGTATTCGGTACAGGTTTGTAGGCTCAGAGCAATGTGCTATACCATATAGCCCAGATCCATGGAGTAGGCATCTGGGTTTGTAAATACACTATGGTGTTCGCACAAAGACCAAATCACCTAATGATGCATTTTTCAGAACACATCCCTGTTGTTAAGCGATGCATAGCTATTAAGCAAGTGAATGGGAGCGCGTGTTCCAAGGCAGGTGTGGCTGCTTCTCGGTCCCAGGACCTGATCTCCAGGACCAGAGTGGGACGTCCTTGGGAATGCTGAGCAGAACAGCTGGGGACAGGGTGGTCCCGGGGGTTGGGGGGAGGATGGTTTCCCCAGGTGTGGGGCCACTGTGCACACCTCCACCCGCTCCCCCGTGGCTGTGGCCCTGCACGGGCTGACAGTGGAGCTGCCTGCGCAGAAGAAAGGCTCCCATTCGGGTGCCTGGTGTTAACCTGCAGAGGGGTTGGCAGCAGCTGCTAATTTCCGATTTGCTTGTCTTTGAATGGGGGTAATTGCTGGGAGTTGCCAGTGTTCCAGATTGTTCTCTGGAAGACCGAGAGGAAGAAGGGGCTGTCATGGGCTCTGTGGAGTGCTGCCTTCTGCAGGCTGTGCCGTGAAGCCTCACGGGGTGGAGTGAGGAGATAATGGAATCATAGTCTGGCAGGGCTGCAAGGGCCCTCGGAGGCCACCTGATCTGACCTGCATTCTACAGGTGGAACCCAGATTCAGAGGGAGGGGACGTGCCTGGGGCCACACAGGTGCTTGGCTCCAGTCAGCAAACCAGCCGTCCTTGGCATTGGCTGTGCCTCCCTGCCCCCCTAGGCCTTGAGTCTCTCTGGGGCTCCCCAGGCTGGGGGATGTGTGTCAGGAACCCCTTTGTCTTTCTCTTACTGCAGGAGACCAGCGCAGCGGTGGGGTCACTGAGGCCAGCAGCCTCCTGGGGGGCTCCCCGAGGCGTCCCTGTGGCCGGAAGGGCTCCCCATACCACACGGGGCAGCTGCACCCCGCGGTGCGTGTGGCAGACCTTCTGCAGCACATCAACCAGATGAAGACAGCTGAGGGCTACGGCTTCAAGCAGGAGTATGAGGTGCATGCTGGCCCCGGCCAGCAGGACCCATGCGGAGTCCTAACCTGGCTCCCACTCTCTGCAGACTCTGACCCTTGCCACCCTCAGCCTAGCCCTGGTTGGACCTTTGCTCTGACAGTTTCTAACTCAACCTTTTTCACCTTGACTCTGACTCTCATCCTGATTTCAGACTGATACAGTTTTTCATTCTCACGCTAACCCTGGTTTGAAATCTGACCTTGAATCTTGTCTCCCTCTCTGTGTGGATCGTGATCAGGATCCTTATTCTGTCCCTAATCTGAACCTGCCCACCGACACTGACCTTGACCTAACCCCAGCCTGGCACTGATGTCATGCTAAGCTCCATTTGAACCCTGTGTATCATCCCACCTCTGTCTGGACTCTGACACTGCCTGTATCCTAATCTAAATCTGACCCCCACCTTTACCTTCTTTCTAACCCTTATTCTAAGCCTGACCCTTATTCTAAAATGTCTTTGAACCCTGACCCTCTTTTCCCCTTTTCTCATTTCCCTTCCCTCAACGCGCCTTGGTTTTAACCGTGGTCCCTGGACACACAGTGACACAATGACTTTATCTCAGGCCGAAGTTCAGCTTGAACCTTGCCCTTATGGTTCCACCCCCATCCTACCTACATCATCCCCATTGAGGGGAAAGGGCCCTATGATTGCGGGCCCCTCTTCCCCACTGACCACCACTTTCCCTTCTGGTAGAGCTTCTTTGAAGGCTGGGACGCCACAAAGAAGAAAGACAAGCTCAAGGGCAGCCGCCAGGAGCCAATGCCTGCCTGTGAGTCCTAGGGAAGGGCCTGGGGTCCAGGGCAGTGGGCGGAAGGGCATCAGGAGAGGGAGGCACAGCCAGGGTGAGCTAGGGAAGCCGCAGAGATGATAGCAGCATTGGCCACCTTTATTGAGGGTGCACGCCACGCCCTGTGCTTTTTTCATTTGTTCCCCTTAATTCCCCTCTGAAGTGGGAAATACTATAATCCCCATTTTACAGATAAGGAAACTGAGGCTTGGGAGGTTAAGATTCCTGCTCAAGGTCTCAGAGCTAGTAATTGCCTGAGCAGCATACACCCTTGGGCCTGCTTGACTCCACAGCCCAGACTCTACCCCTGGCATGCCCTGTCTCCCATGGTGCTCAGAGCCTACTGGTAAGCCCTGAGGCTCTAGGTTCCCTGGCTGCCCTGCCTGTGCCCCATCCCTGGCCTCCAGGAATCCCCCCCTGACTGCCCAGCTCTGGGCTCCCCAGTTCAGCCCCTGCGTACCTGCTTTGTGTTTACAGATGATAGGCACCGAGTGAAACTGCACCCGATGCTGGGAGACCCCAACGCTGACTACATTAATGCCAACTACATAGATGTGAGTGCCTTGCCCTGTCATTTCTGCAGACCTGGCCCTGCCCACTCCAGGCTTACTATCCAGGCAGGGCAGAAACCTATCGGGATAAATGGGGATTCAAATGGTTGAGTTCAGAGTGCCCCCATCTCTGCAGTCAGTGCCAGGGAGCTCAGAGCAGGGAGGACAGTGGGCAGCAGCTTCTGGAAGGCTTCCTGTAGGCTGGAGTTGGCCTGAGAGATGAGGTGCTTTAGGGAAGCAGAGTGAAGGGAAGAGGCAGGCAGCCAGGCCGAGAGGCGAGGAAGGCGGGAGGCATGGAGGGCGGGATTCTCACTGTGCACCGTGAGGCTGAAGAGGTAGGCAGGGGCTGGATTGTGAAGGCTGCAAATGGCAGGCTCAGCAGTGGGGGCTTTTTCCTAGGGGCACCGGGGAGTCGTTAAAGTGTTTTGACCATGATCAGAGTGGTCCGTTAAGAATAACAACGCACATTTATCTAGCACATACTGGGTGCCAAGCACTGTGCTAAGCACTTTATACCCAAGATGTCCTTTTCTGTAATCCCTCCACCCACCCTCCGAGGCAGTTAGCACCATGACCTCACTTTAGAGGTGAGGAAACCTGAGCTCAGAGACGCAAAGCTACTTGTCCCAGGTTGCACAGCTAGTGAATGGTAAAGAAAGGACTCAAATCTCAGCCTGTCCGTGTCTTGAAAGCCTTTGCTACTAACTGTGAGGCTGTCCTGCCACCTGCAGCAGCAGCAGGAGTTGGATGGTGGGCGGGGCGTGCGGGCAGAGATAGCGCAGGCAGCCGGGAGGCCTAGGCTTGGGCGTCAAGGAGAGGTGATGAGTCTACTCCCTAGGTATGGAGGAGGGGTGAGACGGGGCAGGGCCTCCAGTCCCTACAGCAAACCAAGTTTGGGAGAGCATCATTTAATCATGTACGAAATATATTTTGAACACTTCCTTTGTGCCACACATTGTGCTGGGCACCAGGGGTAGAGATGTGAACAAGACAGTCGTGGCCTCTGCTTTCCTTGAATGTATCCATTCAAGTGGGTGAGACAGACATGTCTACACATCAAAATGACTTCAGTTAGCTGGCCGGGTGCGGTGGCTCACGCCTGTCATCCCAGCGCTTTGGGAGGCTGAGGAGGGTAGATCATGAGGTCTGGAGTTCAAGAACAGCCTGGCCAACATGGTGAAACCCTGTCTCTACTAAAAATATAAAAATTAACCAGGTGTGGTGGCGCGCGCCTGTAATCCCAGCTATTCGGGAGGCTGAGGTGGAAGAATCGCTTGAACCCGGGAGGCGGAGGTTGCAGTGAGCAGTGATCGGGCCACTGCACTCCAGCCTGGGCGACAGAATAAGCCTCCATCTAAAAATAATAATAATAATAATAATAATAATAATAATAACAACTTCAGATTAGATGAGGAAGCGCAGGCCAGAAGAGAGGTCACACAGCTTGAGTGTTACACAGCAGGCTAGTGGCAGAGCCGGGGCTGCTACAGAGGGCTTCGTGGAAGAAGCAGGCCTGGAGCTGGCTCTAGGTGGCTGGAGAGGAGAGGGAAGGGTGTCCTGGGGGGGTGCTGCCTAAGCAAAGGCCTGGGGGTCAGGTGGAGCAAGGCGCAGGTCTGGAACCGAGGTAGTCAGGGCCTCTGGAGTTGGCCTCTACTCTCCCTCTTTTTCTCCTCCTCCTGAGGCCAGATGTGCCACGCCATGCTTCCCAGAATCCCTTGCTGCCTCCCCCACCCATCCTGTCCCTTGGCTGGAGTCAGGGCCAGGCCCAGCCTTACAGACATGGGCAGCTTTGGTGACAATGGGCCTCTCCTTAGTCTTGCCAAGGTCCCAGTTGGCTTCTCTTGGGCCCTGGCAGGGACATGCCACTCCCCACTCTGGCTCAGGCCGGCTTGGCCTGCCCGTCTCTGCTCTGCCTGCCCTGCTCGCATCACCCATTCTGGCCACTCCTGGGCTCCGTCCACTTCCATCTGCCTCTGGCCTAATATCTGTCTCTTTTGCTTTGTACTGTTCCCTCACTGGAATCATTAAGATTCGGATAAACCGAGAAGTAAGTATCTCTCTCCCCACCTCCTACTCCTCCACTACCTCCTCCTCCTCCCTCTCCTCCTCCTTCTCTCCCTCTGCCTCCTGTCTGTCTGACTGGCTGTATCTCAGACTGTCTCATAGTCTCTGGCTGTCTCTCTCTCTTGTCTCTGTCCTTCCTTTCTACTTGTGTGCCCAGCACCAACTATCCATTTCAGAGCCTGGCCAGGGGCCTCCCAGGGCTGAAGATTGGAGAGTGTTCCTATTGTAAGCAGTTCCCTCCCATCCTCCGCTGCCTTGAGCAGAGGCAACAGTGTTGGGGGTGCTTCCCCTGCCCCATTTTTCACTGGTCACCACTGTCTGTCACCCTCCTTCCCTGGCCCTGCCATTTCCAATGAGTCCTCCATAGCTGCACCTTCTATAGGACCCTTTGGGGGGTACAGGGGAAGTTGCCCTGGAGGGCCCTGTTTCTGCTGCTTAAGGGTCAAGATCTTGGACAGCCCCAGGTCAGCCCCCTAAAACTACTTTCCCTAGGGTCCAAATACCTTTGCGATCAGTTTGACTGAAACTCAGCCCCAACCATTTTACCCTCAATTTAGCATTAATTTGAATGTTTTTTGGTGGGAGCAGTTTGGATGTTCTGTTTTTTAAAATTATGCCATCTTTTAGCCTTTTTTTCTCTTTGAGACTGAGTTTTCCTCTTGTTGCCCAGGCTAGAGAACAGTGGCATGATCTCGGCTCACTGCAGCCTCCGCCTCCGGGGTTCAAGTGATTCCCCTGCCTCAGCCTCCTGAGCAGCTGGGATTACCGGCATGCGCCACCATGCCTGGCTGATTTTTGTATTTTTAGTAGACACGGGGTTCACCATGTTAGTCAAGCCATTCTCAAACTTCCGACCTCAGGTGATCCAACCGCCTTGGCCTCCCAAAGTGTTGGGATTACAGGCATGAGCCACTGAGCCCGACCATCTTTTAGCTTTTTAAAATTAAAAAAACTACCCCAATTCATCTAGCTATTCTCTGGTTTTCTTTCTTTTTTCTTTTTTTTTTTTGAGACAGGGTCTTGCCCTGTCACCCAGGCTGGAGTGCAGAAGTGCGATCATGGCTCACTGCAGCCATGAACTCCTGTGCACAAGCGATCCTCCCTCTTTAGACTCCTGAGTAGCTGGGACTACAGGCATGTGCTGCCATACCCAGCTAATTTCCACCCCCCCCTTTTTTTTTTTTTTAAAGAGATGGGGTCTTCTCAGCGCTTTGGGAGGGCAAGGCAGGCAGATTGCTTTAGTCCAGGAGTTCGAGACCAGTATGGGCAACATAGTGAGACCGTCTCTACAGAAAAATGTAAAAATTAACTGGGTGTGGTGGCTCATGCCTGTAGTCTCAGTTACTGGGAGGCTGAAGTGGGAAGATCACTTAAGCCCAGGAGGTGGAAGTTGTAGTGAGCCGAGGTCATACCATTGCTCTCCAGACTGAGCAACAGAGCCAGTTCCTGTATCAAAAAAAAAAAAAAAAAAAAGAGAGAGAGAGATTGAGAGACAGAGAGAGAAAGAGAGGTGGGGGGGTCTCACTATGTTGCCTAGGCTGGGATTTCTATTTATTTTTAATTTTAATTTTTACCATTTGAGATGGAGTCCCACTCTATCACCAGAGTTTTGACTATGTTTTGGTCATTTTCGTGGGAACAGTGAGCAGGCTGGAGTGCAGTGGCGCACTCTTGGCTCACTGCAACCTTTGCCTCTGGGTTCAAGCAATTTTCCTGCCTCAGCCTCCTGAGTAGCTGGGTCTACAGATGTGCGCCACCATGCCCGGCTAATTTTTGTATTTTTATTAGAGACGGGGTTTCATCATGTTGGCCAGGATTGTCTTCATCTCTTGACTTTGTGATCCGCCCACCTCCGCGTCCCAAAGTGCTGGGATTACAGGCATGAGCCATTGCGCCTGCCTGGGATTTTTAATATGTATATACTATTTTCATAATATTTAATGACCGATGCGATTATTTGCTACTCTGTGGGTGCTTTTCCATTTTGTCTCCTTTTTCCTTTAAAAAATATGTTTCTTGGCAGCCACTCATGCCTATAATTCAGTACTTTGGGAGGCTGAGGCAGGAGGATTGCTTGAGTCCAGGAGTTAGACCAGCCTGGGTAACATAGTGAGACCCTCATTTCTACAAAAGAAAAAAAAATATTAGTTGGGTGTGGTGACCTGTGCCTGTAGTCCCAGCTACTTGTGAGGCTGAGGTGGGAGGACTGCTTGAGCACTGGAGGTCCAGGCTGCAGTGGAGACAGTGGCTTGGAGCGACAGCTGGAGGGAATTGGGCTAGACCTGGAGAAGTTCCAGTGGAGAGGGCTGAGAGTTGCTGGAAGGCTTTTCATCATAAGTCACTTTGGTTTTCCTGGGAACAGTGAGCAGGTGCCCAACAGAATCTCTGAGTGTTCGTCTTGCTCTTATCCTCATATTGCAGAGGAGAACAAGGCTTAGAGAGACTGAGAGGGGGCCGGCAAGATGGACACCACGTGGGGGCTGGTGATGCATAAGCACAGCCCCACCCCAGACCTTTGAATCTGAATCTGCCTTTTAACAAGATCCCCAGAGATGTATGTGCTCAAGAAAGACTGAGAAGCACCCTCTTAGGGCTCAGTTACACAGCGACTACGCGGCAGAGACCCAGGTCCATTCAACTCCGAGACTCAGATTCTTCATAGTCACCTTCTGCCCCAGCAGTTCTTGACTTCCATTTGGTCCACTTGATCCATTTGTATCTTCAAGGATACTGTTTCAGCTTTAAAACAGTAGAAGTAGTAGTACTAGTGGCTCTTACTGATTAAGCACTCATTTTGTACTAGACACAGCGGCAGACATTTAGTGTATTACTTTATTTGCTCCTCACAGCAGCCCTCAGAGGTAAATGCTGTAATGGCTCCATTTTATAGACATGAAAATGGAGGCATAGAGAAATGAAGGGGCTTTTGCTCAATGGCACACAACTAGTGAGAGGTAGAGCTGAGATTTGAACCTTGGCAGTCTGACCCCTGGGCTCCTCGGGCCTGGGAAGTTCATGGGACCGGCAGAGTGGTTGGGAGCCATGTGGAAGGTGTCAACTTGAGGCAGGAGGCTGGGCTAGTTTTCTGGGCGCCAGCCCTGCAGTACTGATTCCCCTTTCTGCATTGCCTGCTTTGGTGCCCTGGGTATCTGGTGAATTCTTGTGCTCAGAAAGATGAGGCCTTGTGGCAGGACCTCCTGGGTGGCTGTGGCCCTGGGGTGGCTTGTGGGGGCGGCGGGTTTCTCTCCTCAGCTTGGGGGCTCTGGGGATGGAGGGTGAAGTAGCTCTTGGCCTCTCTCTTATGGGAGGTGGTACAGGGAAAGTGCTTAGCACAGTATGTGACTGTAACAGGGTCATTATTACTGATTTTACGGGTTTAAAATGTTATCCAAGGGCCATGAGCAGTGCCTGTGTCCATACGTTTCTATCCTGAAGCCCTCATCTAGGCCCTCCACGCCCTGAGTGACTGAGGAGTCGGGGGGTACTGTCCTTTCTGGTTATCCCAAGTGGGGCTAGGATAACTGACAGGCTCTGGTTACCCCACATTTGGGAGCCGGGTTCATTAGAGCTTCTGGAACCCTGGGAACAGGGCAGGGCCATCTGGGACTCTGTCTCCCAGCAGCAGCCTGGCTGAAAGCGGATGCCTCTTTCCACTTCAGGGCTGGGGGTCCCTGTAGGCCCACAAAGGAGTCATGTCCTCCTTGGGGTTGCACAGCCAGGTTGGATTCAGCCCGTGACTCTGCTGCCCCAGCTGCACTTCTCCACCTTCCTGGAGACTGGGGGGGCAAGGCCCCCCTGGTTAGGATGTCCTAGGGATGTGAGGGGATCAGTTCCCTGGTGGGGTGGGGGGTCTGCTGCCGAGAGGGGAGGAGAGAGGAGTGTGAGGGAGTGAGGGCTGCTCCCTGGGGTCTAACCTCGTCCTATCCTCCTGTTCCAGGGTTACCACAGGTCAAACCACTTCATAGCCACTCAAGGTACCTGCCACCTCTGCCCACATGCACCTTCCTGTGTGCCCCTGGCATGCTGGAATGCCCTCAGCCTGCCTTTCTGCCTCCCCTGCTGATCCGCCTGGCTTCCTGAATGTCCCCTTGCACATTCTGGCTTCCTGTTTGTCTGCTCCCTGTTCTGCTGGGCCTCTTGGAACCTGGCCGACTGCCTTTATGCCCTGTTTGTGTCTGTGTCTCTCTGATGTGCTCAGTCCACCTGCGGTTCCTAGTCCACCTGCGGTTCCTGGTCCACCTGCCTGTCTCCAAAGTGGTGCATGCAGAAGGGCTGGCTGGGCTCAGACCTCATGGTGTGGGTTGGGCCTCTTGGTCTGGTGGCTGCCTGGGTTCTTCTGGCTGCATTTCTTTCTGTGACTGTCTGTCTGTCCATCTGTCCTGGACACTTATGCTATTGCCCAAGCGTCTGGCCCTCCTCCTGGATCCCAGTCAGCGTGACCGGGCTCTTTAGCCAGGCCCTCTCCTGATGGGATCCCGCCTCAGGGCCCTACAGGTGTGCGTCAGCTGCAAGCTGGGCGTTGTGGGTGGCATGAAGCCCCCGCTGGGGCTCAGGAGGTCTCCTGGCCTGGGCCGTGGTGTTGGACGGTGCTAGATGTGTTGGCCTGGGGTGGAGAGCTTGTCTCAGGGACAGGCACCCTCTGCACCCTCAGGGCCGAAGCCCGAGATGGTCTATGACTTCTGGCGCATGGTGTGGCAGGAGCACTGTTCCAGCATCGTCATGATCACTAAGCTGGTCGAGGTGGGCAGGGTAAGCCGGGCTATGGGGTGAGCTGGGGCACATGGCAGGCCAAGGGGGGCAGTGAAGAGCCCACTGAGTCCCATCTGGTGGGGCCTCCAGGTGAAGTGCTCACGGTATTGGCCAGAGGACTCAGACACCTATGGGGACATCAAGATCACGCTGGTGAAGACGGAGACCCTGGCTGAGTATGTCGTGCGCACTTTTGCCCTGGAGCGGGTGAGTCTCCCCGCCGCCTGGCAGAGGGTGCCTGGGCGGGGATTAGAGCCCACTCCCACTTCCCCCAACCCTGGGAGCAGGAGGGTGAGGAGTGCGCCACTGCCCATCCCAGCAAGGAAGCTACTTGGTCACTGTTTGCTGGGAGCAGTGTGGAAGGGCAGGAAGGTAACTGCCTTCTCTGGTCCCCGTTAAGAGGAAGCCGAGGCAATGAAGGGGATGATGGTGTCTGCAAGTGCTGGCTGCCACTCTGTGCTGAGCCTGTTACACGTACTGTTTCAGTCCTGGAGAGCTCTGTGGGATTGGGTGTTTACCGCTAGCCCAGATAAGGAAAGTGAGGTTCAGAGGGCTTATGCCAGGCAGGAGACGCCGCATTGTGAGTGGCTGGCCCGTGAGTCCTGTGCACAATCCCATTTGATCTGCTCTGTAAAGTCCTCAGAGGAAAGATGGTTTTTTACACAACAGCCTGGTGGCGGAGGTGAGTATTTCGTAGCTCAGGTTTAGGCATCAGGCAGACCACTGTCTGTTTCTCTAACCTCGGGAAAGTGGTTTCTTCTCTTTGAACCTTAATGTTCTCGTTTGTACCATAGGACATTAATACCTACTTCATTAATACATTGATCACTGGAATGAGCTGTGCCTGGCACACAGCAAGTGTCTAACAGATGCTGCCAGTGACTCTGACTGTTGCTCCCATTGTCTCTCCAGAGAGGCTATTCTGCCCGGCATGAGGTCCGCCAGTTCCACTTCACAGCGTGGCCAGAGCATGGCGTCCCCTACCATGCCACGGGGCTGCTGGCTTTTATCCGGCGTGTGAAGGCCTCCACCCCACCTGATGCCGGGCCCGTTGTCATCCACTGCAGGTGGGGTCAGCAGGGATCCCAAGGACAAGAGGGGCCCTTCTCCCTGGGAGGTTGGACTTGGGGTCAGGTTGGTTCCGGATCTGTAGCGGGGAGCAGGCCTGAGCTCTCCTGCTTAGAGACAGAGTACAGGAGGGAACGTCCCCCAAAGGCCCTATCCCCTGTGAGCTTTGGCTCTGAGGCTCGTACCTCATGTACCCTACACGACCTGTAAAGCCCCTTGATCCAGGTGCTGAGAGGCACTGGAGATAGGGTGGGGCCTGGGGGCTGGTGAGGCACCAGGCACGATTGAGTTCTGCCTGCTTTCATGAAACAAGCTAGGCCTGGCCTGGGGCTGGGAAGGACTTCGCTTCCCTCCACCAAACCCAGTGGGCCTCGCCCATCCCCCAGTCTTCACACCTTTTAGGGATCCCGACTGGCTCCTGTGACCCCAGGTGCCCTTCCTCTCTCCACCTCCTCCCTGGCCCCATATCTTTCTCTTGCTTCTTAAGTGGGGATCCAGCACCCTGTCCTGGCCTGCCCTCTGTCTCCTCCTGCAGAGCCAAAACTCCAGACTCGGAAGTTTTGTCCATGGCCTCTGTGTCTCATCGTGGTTCCTCTGCTGTGTTTTTACCAGCTCCCCAAATGCCGCATGGCAGAGTCGTTCTCCGTGCCCTGCCACCTAAACCAGCTTCTCTTTGATTTCTTTAGGCCTCTTTAAGATGCCATCTTTTAAAAACAAAACTTTATTGATCTATAATACACTTAAAGTGCAGAAATATGTTTATAAATATGAATTTTCGTAAACTGAGCTCAGATTAAGAAACAGAACATTGGCTGGGCACAGTGGCTCACGCCTGTAATCTCAGCACTTTGGGAAGCCAAGGTGGGAGGATCATTTGAGGCCAGCAGTTTGAGACCAGCCTGGGCAATAGAGTGAGATCTCATCTCTACAAAAATAAAAATATTAGTGGTGGCGTGGTGGCACAAGCCTGTAGTCCCAGCTACCTGTGAGGCCGAGGCAGGAGGTTTGTTTGAGGGTGGGAGTTCCAGGTTACAGTAAACTGTGACCGTAACACTGTACTCCAATGTGGGCAACAGAGCGAGACTCTGCCTCTAAAAAAAAATTTTTTTTGAGAGCAAGTTTGCTCTGTTGCCAGGTTGGAGTGCAGTGGTGCGATCTTGCCTCCCGGCTTCAAGTGATTCTTCTGCCTCAGCCTCCTGAGTAGCTGGGACTACAGGTGCGCGCCACCATGACCCAGCTAATATTTGTGTTTTTTTTAGTTGATACCGGGTTTTACCATGTTGGTCAGGATGTATTAAAAAATTTAAGTAATGAAGTAAACAGAACTTGAATGGTTCCCAGAAGCCCCCTTGAGGCCATTTCTGGTATGAATTGCCTCATCCCCACTCTTAGAGAAATCACTCCTGACCTAAACCACAGTCAGTTCCCCATGTTTTTGGACTTGTTATAAATAGAATCATACAGCATGTGCTCTTTGCTGTCTGTCTTCTGTCCCTCAGCCTTAGGCTTGTAAGGCTCATCCACAGTGGATCATATTCCATCGAGTGAATAAATGACAATGTATTTGTCCATTCTGCCTTGATAGGCATTTGGGTTATTTCCAGTCTTGAGCTATTATGAGTAATGCTGCTAAGGATATTCGATCGTATGTCTTTTGGCCAAGAAATGTATTTATTTCTGTGTGGTATGTACGTAGGAGTAGAACTGCTATCTGTGTGAACGTTCAGCTTTAGGAGATATTGCTGAACAGTTTTCCAAGGGGGTTGTGCTAAGTTAAGTCCCACCAGGGGTATATATGGGCTATTCAGTTGCTATATGTCCTCGCCAGCACGTGGATGCCACCATTGTCAAACCTGAAATCTCGCTGTTATCTTTGTCTGCTCTCCTTCCCGCTCAGCTCTGCACAACTTTGTGCGAGGACAAGGATCCTGACTTGCCCCCAGTCAAGTTGGGGAGGCAGCCACATAAACAATGACCATGTAGTGGGAGGAGTGTTTAATTAATTACTTTTTCTTTTTTTGAGACAGGATCTTGTTCTGTCACTCAGGCTGGAGTGCAGTGGTGTGATCTCGGCTCACTGCAGCTTCCCCCTCCTGGATTCAAGCGGTTATCCTGCCTCAGCCTCCTGAGTAGCTGGGACTACAGGCATGTGCCACCACACCTGGCTAATTTTTGTATTTTTTGGTAGAGACAAGGTTTTACCATGTTGGCCAGGTTGGTTTTGAACTCCTGACCTCAAGTGATCTACCCACCTCGGCCTCCCAGAGTGCTGGGATTACAGGTGTGAGCCGCTGTGCCTGACGGGGAGGAGTGTTTTAGTAAAAACCTGCCCACATTGCTTTGGGAACTCAAAATGATGACATCATCCTGGAAGGGTTAGGGATGCTCCAGTGGGTCTGTGAATGTTTGCGTGTGTGTGGGCTTTTGGAAGATGTGTAGGAGATTCGGTAGTTTCCAGGTGGAAAGAACATTCCTGGATAAGCTCGGTGCCTCCTCATTCCTGTTCTCCCCTAACCTCAGTTGCTAGGTTGAGCCAGCATCACCTCTGCATTCTCCCGACCATTTCTCCTTCTCTGCTTCTCCGAGGCCCATCCCATCTCTGTCCTCTAGCACATTTCACCAGAGTGCGTCTGTCCAGCAGCCTGCACCCTGGCTCCTTGCTGGGGGAGGGGAGGTCATCTCTGTGTCCCTGTCCCCTGTATGGTGTAGACATGGCCAGTGCCCTTCTCTCTTCTCCTTAGTCCCGGGCTTCCTCCCCAAGGCTCTGACGTGGCCCGGGGCTGCTCTTTCTCCAGCGCGGGCACCGGCCGCACAGGTTGCTACATCGTCCTGGATGTAATGCTGGACATGGCAGAGTGTGAAGGTGTCGTGGACATTTACAACTGCGTGAAGACCCTCTGCTCCCGGCGTGTCAACATGATCCAGACTGAGGTGCGGGAACCTGGCCCTGTCCCCACCATTACTTCTAGGACTGGAGTTTCTCATGAAGGAACCCTGAGCCGGCGGGGCATGTCCAAAGGGTGTCCTGAGGCTCTTCCCTTCCATCAGATCATCCCTGACCTTCAGCTGCTATCCGCTTAGGGTCACCCCGGACAGCTCCCCTGTGTTCTGTTGGGTGGGGTCAGACCACGGGTCCTGTAGCTGACGTCCCTGGGATTGCATATTGCATCCTTACTGGATGTGTGACTGTGGCTGCCCCCGCCTCTCAGAGCACCTCACAGGGTTCTAATAGGGGCTAGGGATGCAATAGGAGATAAAGGCACATGTCCATGGAGGTTGTTTCATTAGGTTTGGTCCAGCCTGTAGTAACACATGGTTGGCTTCCACCTTGGAGCACCTTCCTCAGCCTTGAGCTTGCTTTAGCCCCATCACCATAGATTTGCAGCTTCTGTGCCCCTCCTCGGCCTCATAGTCTCGCCTCCTATTCCAGGAGCAGTACATCTTCATTCACGATGCAATCCTGGAGGCCTGCCTATGTGGGGAGACCACCATCCCTGTCAGTGAGTTCAAGGCCACTTACAAGGAGATGATCCGCATTGATCCTCAGAGTAATTCCTCCCAGCTACGGGAAGAGTTCCAGGTGGGGGACGAGTGTGTGTGTATAGGGTGTGTATGTGTGTGTGTGTATTTGTTGGGGGCATCTTCAATACTGCAGGAGTCATTGAGGGTCAAGAAGCAGGCCCAGCCTGAGACCACAGCTGGAGAGACAGAGCTGAGCTACTAGGAAGGACTTTGGGACAGTGGGAGAGGGGGTGCACCAAAGCAGTTAAGAGCCCAGGCTTTGAAGTCAGATAAACCCAGGTTCAAATCCTGGCTGACCTAGTTAAGAGGGTGAGTATTACCCTGGAACAAGCCCCTGTACCCTCTGAGCGTCAGTTTGTTACTCAGAGAAGAAAAGGAGCTGATGTGTCCTTTGGAGTGTTTGTATTCATTGGGATTCTTTGGGTTGTGAGTGATAAAAATCCAGCTCTTGTAATTGAAAAGTCTGAGAATGGCGCAGCTTCAATTGTGGCTGGATCCAGGGGCTCAGATGATGATGCAACACGTGGTTTCTCTCTCCCTGGGTTCTGCTTTCCTGTTTTTGGCTTCATTTTCAGGCCTGCGCCTGGCCCCCAGCAGTGCTGGGCTCCCATCATCTCTATTGTCTGGTGACTTTGAGAAAGGCAATTGCTGCTCCCGGCATCCCCCCAAAAGTCCTAGATCAGACTCTCAGGTTCCCATCCCTGGACCAGTGACAGGCCGGAGAGATGGAGCTCGCTGATTGTCCCTGGCTCTGGGGCAGGAGCAGCCTCACCATATTACACAGCTGAGATGGGAAAAGGCTGGTTCTCCAGAGAAGCCTGAGAGTCGTCATTGGGTGGGCAGAGAGCTCAGAAGTCCTCTCCACTCCAGGGTTCCCGCAACGGCTCAGCAGGATGGCACATGCTGGGGACCCGGCATTTCTGAGCCAGCAGAGGGTGATCTCACAGGAGGTGCAGGCTGTGATTCCCGGAGGAGGGTGTTAGGCTTTGGGGATCATGAAAGACTGCGGTTCCCTGTGAGTTTTTTCCAAGAACAAGAGAAAGAAATAGAGAGCCCCTGGTGTGGACGTGAAGTGTGAAGGCACCGGGCGGAGGAGATGCCCCGGAGATCCGGGCATGATTCAGTGCCCACTGCTTATGATTTCATCCTGTTTAGACAGGGCCATGACCAAGGAAGGTGACCCCCATCTCCAGGTGTCTGGAGTCTGCTTTGTGGAGGGCGTGGGGTTTCAGGGTTGCCTCAGTGAAGGTGCTGATGAGCTAGTGAAGATCCTCACTGTGCCCATGTGTGCCCAGCTCAGCTCAGTGCTTGTCATGATCTCACTTTGGCCACCCAGCAGCCCCACGAAGTAGGCATATTACTTCCCTATCTTGCAGTTGAGGAAACTGAGGCTGAGAGATGCAGTAGCTTGTCGGAGGTTATGTGGGCGGCAAGGAGGTAGACTCTGGTCTCTGTCCAGGCCCTCCATATCCTAGAGACGGGGAGTCTGGGTCCCTGCCCTGTCTCCTTCCCTCTGGACCTCAGTTTCTCCATCTGTAAAATGGGGTTAGTAGCTCAACCCAGCCTCCTTCACGGGGATTTGAGGAGGCCCAGCAAGCCCTGGATGTAACTTCGTCCCCACCCTCGCTCCCTGTAGACGCTGAACTCGGTCACCCCACCGCTGGACGTGGAGGAGTGCAGCATCGCCCTGCTGCCCCGGAACCGCGACAAGAACCGCAGCATGGATGTCCTGCCACCCGACCGCTGCCTGCCCTTCCTCATCTCCACTGACGGGGACCCCAACAACTACATTAATGCGGCCCTGACTGATGTGAGAGCTCGGGCTGTAGTGGGCTCTAGGGCTCCCCTTCCCGGCAGCATCACGGAAGGTCCAGGGGCCAAGGGAACATAGCTGAGGGCTCTGGTTGGGGGATTCTCTGCCTGTTCTGGGGAACAGGCCCATGTGTGACCCTTCTACCCCTAGGGATCTTCCATTCGGGGCATTCAAGCCAGTTCCCCCCATACTCTGCCTGAGTGGGGTCTGGGTTGTGGAGTTCAGGCAGGGCTGTCTCCAGGATCAGACCCAGCAGAGCCTGGGGCAGGATGAGTGATTCAGGGGGCTTTGCTGGGGAGACCTTGAGGGTGATGGAACTTGAGACCTGATGTCTGGAGCCAGGGGAGCTTGTCCTGGGAGAATGAGCTGCAATCTTCTCCAGGACCAGGCCCAGGACCGTGATCTCTGGCCCCATTCTTCCCTGGGTGAGCGTGGGCCCTCTGAGGGCTCAGGAGCCATTTAGAAGTCTCCTTCCCTGCTCCCAGCTCAGGGGCTCTGCCTCCTTTACTGAGTGTTGCAACCAGTGCAGGGGATGCGTGTTGGCATTTTAGGCCCGTGATAAATGGCGAGTTGCTGCTGTCTGAGGCGGGAAGGGTCATGGATTATTATCCCTATTCCTTTCCCACACTGGAACCAGTTCAGATGTAGACGCAGGAGACACATGGGTGGAGATCAGATGTTACAGATAAAACTGCAGATGGAGTTGGAGATATGTGGCCAATGCGGGGGCTGCTCCTTTGCCCCTCCACGATATAGCTATACAACCATGGGCCTCCCTTCCCCATCAGGGACTGGCCTTTACTGGCAGGGAGGAGGAGCAGTTGAGTGCATGCTTTCTGAGGGTTGTCAGTCATGGTCACTCAGCCTGGTGGCTGGCACGTGAGTGCCCACATGCTCACCTGGGGACTTCTGGCCTGTGGGGGGTCAGGGGTCCTAGAGGGGTGGCATGCAGTACTGGGAAGATGAACTAAGGAAGCTGTGCCCTCCCTCCCAGCCTCCTCCTTGGCCTTAGCGTGCCCGTCTGTAACTGGGGGCCTCGAAGGGAGACTGTCTGAGGGTCCTGAGCTGGGGCTTCCTGGCCCTGACGGGTGGGCTGTCACGTGGGGAAGTTCTGGGACAGCCCTGTCCCCTCCTGAGGTTCTTGATGCCTCTGATGCCTGACCCGAGTCATGTGGGTCCTGTTGGCTCAGGAGCCAGGAGGCCCCATTTCTCAGGCAGGCCCTGAACTTGTGGCACCCAGGCCTGAGTTTTGGAGTCTGGCTGGGCCTGGTCTTGAGCTGTCAATCATGAGCCTTCAGAGAGTCCTGGAGAGGGACTGCTGGGGGAGTAGGGAGCACTCCTTGTTTCTCTGCACTGCACCTTGCAGGATTACAAAGGGCAGATCAAGATTTGGTCAGGCCCAAGCCAGGGTCAAGGCCAGAAGAAGTCAGACAAAGACCTAGCCTGTGCCAGCCCTAGGTCAGGAGGAGGGTGGGGATCAGGAGAAGAGCTCAGGAAAGGGAGGGGGCACGGCACAGGGTGAAGCAGGGCAGGCCGCCAGGGGAGCCTCCGCGCCAGAGCGCTGATGTGAGGAGGCCTGGTGCCGGCCCCCCTGGCAGGACGAGGGAGCAGGGAGCAGCGTCGGGGCCGGTCACTGCCTGGAGAGCCTGGGTTGGGGCCCCAGATTCTTAATTTATGGAGTTGGAAGGGATCTAGAGATTTTTTCAAATTATTTATTGAGCCCCTCCAGGGTTCTGGGCAGAGACCATACCCTGGAAGCTCTGCTCTCCTGAACTTTGCTTTTAGGAGGTGGAGTGGGGTAGTCAGGAAATAAATATACAATGAAATGTCATCATTGGGAACAATTTCTACAAAAACAGCCAGGTGGAAGTGTTTAATGTGGATTTAGGTGTGTGGGGGGCTATTTTTGATGAGGTGGTAGGTGGTAAAGGAGGGCTTCTTTGAGGAGGTAACAAGCAAAGGCCAGAAAGAAGTGAGGGAGAGAGCCATATAGACATTGGGAAATTTGGCCTAGGCAGCCAAAATAGCAGATGCCCAGGTGCGGAGGCAGGGAGATAGCTCGGCCAGCCTCTGCCTTGAGCTCAGCCTCATGCCCAAGCTCTCCTTGCCACACCTTTGGAAGCTTTTGCTGTTCAGTTCTGGGAGGTCATGGGCTTGGTCCCCAGAGGCCTGGGCCCAGCCTGTCAACCCAGGCCTCCATGTGCCCGCCAACATCAGAAGTGGGCCACTGGAGGCAGCCTGGTCTTGTGGAGCACAGCTGTCCAATTCAGGGTGGGCAGGGTGGGAAGTCTGCCTGGGGCAGAGGCTCAGCCCATGCCAGGGGCCGGGGACAGGACCCCGCTGAGTCCCGGTTTTCCTGCAGAGCTATACGCGGAGCGCGGCCTTCATCGTGACCCTGCACCCGCTGCAGAGCACCACACCCGACTTCTGGCGGCTGGTCTACGACTACGGCTGCACCTCCATCGTCATGCTTAACCAGCTGAACCAGTCCAACTCCGCCTGGGTGAGGGCTCCGCTGGCCGGAGGGGCTGCCTGCTGCTCGGGTCCTCTGTGTTCAAGGGCATGGTCCCCAAAGTCACAAGTTAGGTCCTAGCTTTGCCATCTCTTTGCTGTGTGATGAGTCCTACACCTTCCTAGAGCCTCAGTTTCCTCATCTGTAAAACAAGGGCATCAGATGGGAGATCACTAGTTGCTCTTTTTCTTTTTCTGAGACAAGGTCTTGCTCGTTTGCCCAGGCTGGAGTGCAGTGGCACGCACACAACTCACTGAGGTGTGTAGCCTCGACCTCCTGGGCTCAAGCCATCCTTCTGCCTCAGCCTCTGGAGTAGCTGGGGCTACAGGCTGCATCACCACACCTGGCTGACTTTTTAATTTTTATTTTTAGTAGAGGTGAGGTTTTACCATGTTGCCTGGGCTGGTCTCGAACACCCGGCCTCAAGTGATTCTCCCATCTCGGCCTCCCGAAGTACTGGGATTACAGGCATGAGCCATTTGGCCACAGCTGCTCTTTACTGGCCCCTTGCTAAGCCAGGGACTATTCTGCACTCATGGTCTTATTTAGAATCGATAATGACCTTGGAGTGAAGGCTTCAGTGAGAAAATTCAGACCCAAAGAGGTGCAGGGCCTTCTCCAGGGCCACATAGCTGGGGACGGGCAGAGCTGCGCCTCAGCCTCGCTGCCTCTTTCCAGAGCTCCTGCTCCTTCAGTCACTCCACTAAAGTGCCCATCACCGGGGCCTCCGAGGTAGAGTACAATTCCCGCCTCCTACTCCCTGACTGTTTAATCTAGGGTAAGTTGATTGACATTTCTGAGTTTCACTTTCCTTCTCTGTAAAATGGGGGTCATCACAGGACCCGTTCTTTTGGGGTTACTGTGAGGACCAGGTGAGGTGCGCATAGGATGCGTGGCACTGCCGTGTCTGGTGTGCATTAGGCATGTGGTACGTGGCAGGGACAAAGATGATGAGGGTGACAGCTGCGTCTGAGGTTGACTCAGACCCTGGTTCAGTGACCTCAGCCTGGTGTCAGTCCCTCTGTCTCCCCCATTTTCCTTTGGAGCTCTCGAGAAGTACAGACACCCAGTCTTGCAGCCTTGCTTGACCACGTGGACCCCTTCCCACCCCAGCTTTCTGCTGGGCCCAGGGGGCCAGGAAGGTTTGCTGTAAAATGAGTACAACAGCTTCTTAATGGCCTCCTGGAGAAGATTTCGTTCACTGTGCTCTTTATGAGTCAGGCGTTCTGTGAAAATGACCCAGGACTGCAGGGTAACGGGCCTCAGTCCTTGGGTGCAGCAGGTAGGTAGAGGGGAGAGGCCCAGAGGGAGGCTCACGCAGATATCATTCACTGGACACCGATTTGCTCATCTGCTCAACCAACTTTGCCCGTGAACTTCTCCCTGCAGTGGGCAGGGAGGAGACAGAGGGAGAGGAGACACAGCGCCTCCCAGATCTCATGGTCCAGGAGGAGACAGGTAGAAAAACTGACAGTGACAGCACAGACGAAAAAGGGCTATCATAGAGCTGGCACAGGGACAGAGAAGCCCAGGGGATCATGTATCAGGGATGGCTTCCTGGAGGAGGTAGTGTCAGAGCTGAGATGTGTGGGAAGGGCAGAGTTAACTAGGTGAGGAGGTGGAGGAAGAGAGCCATGGAGAGGGAGCAGCATGTGCAGAGTTCTGAATGCACGGGGTTGCCAGGACACGAGGCAAAATGAGGAAGGTGCTGTCTGCCCGTCATGGGCTGTGGTTAGAGGAGACTGATGAGCACGGTGTCTTTTTGGAAGAGGTTGGGGTCATTTTACAGATGGGGAAACTGGGGCCAAGAGAAAAAAAGAGCCTTTCCTGGGCTCCAGGCAGAGCTGAGCCCTGGGGGTGGTGGTGGTGGTGGTGGTGGTGGTGGTGGTGGTGGTGGTGGTGGTGGTGTGGTGGTGTGTGTGTGTGTGTGTGTGTTCGGGGAGCTGCATCTCCTCTGTCCCTCCACTGTCCAGAGTCTGGGCGGGGGTTGTATTTAGGACCCTGACTCCAGGTAGGGGTCCTGGGGCAGAAGTGAGGGTATTGATCTGTGTTTAGCACCAGGGACACCGCACCTCTGTGAGCTGGTGCTGAAGGGCAGAGGCAGTGAGAGAGAAGGCTGTGGGGAAGTTCCGGGGTGGGTGGGAGGGATCCAGGCCTAATACTGGAAGCAGGCAGCCTACGTAGGGGTGTATGAACCTGTTAAGGTGTAGCTTTCTAGCTGCACAGTAGTAGGCATCAGTGCACTGTTTGTGAAGGGCTTGTCTTGGCTGATGTGAACATGTCAGTATAGAACGCACTGGAGCAGGTGGGCCTTGCAGTCTGTGGGTGATTGGTGGGGACTGGGGGACTGCTGAAGGTGAGTCTGGAGTGGAGTCTGGGTGGTCCACGGTGTGTGGGAGCCACAGGGCAAGTGTAGAGCCCTGGGGGTGGGCATGGCTGTGGGCTAAGCCCTGGCCAGGCCCTACTCAGCTCTCCCATCTCTGTGCCCATGCCCAGCCGTGCCTGCAGTACTGGCCGGAGCCAGGCCGGCAGCAGTATGGCCTCATGGAGGTGGAGTTTATGTCGGGCACAGCAGATGAAGACTTGGTGGCCCGAGTCTTCCGGGTGCAGAACATCTCTCGGGTGAGTAGTCTGAGGAGCCCCAGGGGAAGACCCTGGGTGGTGGCTGGGGCAGCTTTTAATGACCCTCCAGGTCATCAGGGGCCCCTGTGACCCTGGTGCTCATGTCCCCCTGGCTGGCTGCCCCTGTCCCCAGCTGCAGGAGGGGCACCTGCTGGTGCGGCACTTCCAGTTCCTGCGCTGGTCTGCATACCGGGACACGCCTGACTCCAAGAAGGCCTTCCTGCACCTGCTGGCCGAGGTGGACAAGTGGCAGGCCGAGAGTGGGGACGGGCGCACCATTGTGCACTGCCTGTAAGTACCTGCCCTGCGGGAGGGTGGGTGGAGGGGTCAGGGAGCCAGGGGCAGAGGTCCAGTCTGAAAGGGTGCCAGCTTTGGCTAGACTGCAAAGCTGGCACTGACACCCCTGGACTCTCAGATGGCTGTGGCCTGGATGCTGCCCAACCAGCCGAGGCTGGCCCTGGAGGAATCCAGTCAGTTTCGAGAGTATAGACTCAGCCCTGAACAACTCCCAGTGTCCTCTGTGTGATGTCTGACTTTGCCAATTTAATTAAAGAGAGTCCTTTGTCAGAATTTTTTACCCCATGAGATTGTGGCACACTTTTTATGCCAACAGACTTCCAGTCTTTGTTCATGCATGCACACATGTGACTTTTTCCATGCATCCATCCACCCACCCACCCAACCACCTACCCATCCATTCGTATGTATACCCCATTCATAAATTCATGTATTCACTCATGTCCAGGTGCAGTCACTCCTTTGCTCCCCACTTTTTCATCCTTTCAGCCCTTAGCCTCTCGAGTGGCAGACTGGGCCTACTGGAAGCTGTGGGGAGCTGAGTCAGTCTGGGTCTGGCCCCAGGGGGTTTGGTTCTGGTGGGAAAGACCTCTGAGTAGGGCGCGAGGGCCTCATGAGTCTGCCATCCCCCAGGAGGCATCCCGCACGTTACGTGGAGTCACAGGGAAGGAGGGATGGGGCTCTGTGGGAGGCTGTGGGCTTGACTTGGGGTGGGGGTGCATTTGTGCCTGTGTGCCCGCGTTGCCAGGTGGTGACTGGTCTTCTCAGCGTTCCTGTTCCACCTTGCTCTCTGGGAACGCACTTGCTGCTCCCCCACCCTTCTTCGTCACACTGCCTTTGTCTCTCTATGTGTTTATCTCGGATTGTGTCTGGCCTCCTTTCAGAATCTGTAGTCTGTTTCGCCTTGAGAACATGTCTTCTGATATGTCCTAGCCTCTGGTCCTGCCGCTCACCTCTGGGCCCTCTGCCCCTACCTCTGGGTCCTCTGCCCTGCTCTTATGAGTTCCCTAGCCGGTCTCACCTAGGGCTCTTTTGCCCTTTCTGAGTTTCCTAGCCCCGCCCCCCCACCTCTGGACTCACTCATTTCTGAGTTTTCTAGCCCCGCCCCTCTCCCCTAGGGTCTCTGGCTCCGCCTTTCTGTGTTCTCTAACTCCGCCCCTCACCTCTGAGCTCTCTGCCCCACCCTTCTTGATTCTCTAGCTCCGCCCCTCTCCTCTAGGCTCTCTGCCCTCCCTCCTGGTTCCCTAGCCCTTTCCCTACCTTCAGGTTCCAAGACCCCGCCCCTCACCTTTGGCTACTGAGCCACCCCAACATGCATTGTTCATGCATGCACACATGTGACTTTTTCCATCCATCCATCCATTCGTATGTATGCCCCTTTTTTGCATCTCTTATTTAGAAATGGGGGAGGACGCAGCGGTACCTTCTGCGCCTGTGCCACGGTCCTGGAGATGATCCGCTGCCACAACCTGGTGGATGTTTTCTATGCTGCCAAAACACTCCGGAACTACAAACCCAATATGGTGGAGACCATGGTGAGAGGCTGTATCCCGTGCCCAGCCACTTTCACCTTCCTGGTCCGTGCCAGGCTCCTTAGCACCCACACTCCCCTGTCTGGGCCCCACCATTGGGCCTTGGCTCTAGTCCTGTGGTCCTCAAACATTACCCCATTTCCCCACGGCTGGGCCTGGGCTCATGCTTGCCCTTTCCCTCCCTGTTCTCCTCCCCTGACAATACTGGAGTTGGGGTCAGGCTCATGACTCCTTCCCTCTCTTCCTCCTCAGGATCAGTACCACTTTTGCTATGATGTGGCCCTGGAATACCTGGAGGGACTGGAGTCAAGATAGCGGGGCCCTGGCCTGGGATACCCACTGCACACTCAGGGCCAGACCCACCATCCTGGACTGGCAAGAAAGACCAGTGCCTCCTGCCCTGCCCAACCGCACCCCCATGGGGCAAGCACTGGAGTGGATGCGGGGCCATCTTGCTGCCCTTTCCGCTGTGGGCAGGGCCTTTCTCTTTGTTCCATGGACAGGTCGTGGGCAAAGAAGGAGCTTAGCAAGTCTGCAGCTGAGCCCCATCTCCACAGGGTCCTGCAGACCTGTGCTGAGAGGGCTGGTGCTGCCTGGCAGAGTGACAAGGGCTCAGAATGGCTGGCTCTGGGGGACTCAGGCCATGCACCTTGGCTCCATCCTGGCCTTTGGCAGGGATGAGTGAGGCCCTGCAGAAAGCATCCCAGGCCAGAGTTCCCACTTAGCCTGCCCCCTCTGCATGTGGCTAGAGGGTGGCTGGGGCTTGGCAACTAGGATTCCATCTGGCCCAGCCCCTGAAGGTCCCGGGGAGGTGGGACTCTGTTCTGAATAGCCAGCGGGGCACACTGACTGTCTTCTCCGGGGAACTGCCGCACCCTCCTCCCCACTGCCCCCTGCAGCCCCTGGGGTACTTTGCTCACCATCCCTCCCCACTTCTGCTTCCCTGATGTGCTCTGAGCTTCCCTGAACCAGGATCTGCCCATTCCTACCGTGCCCCACAGGGGCTCCTTCCCTGCCTGACCCAGTGTTGCAGAATGAAGTCACCTCGCCCCCCTCTTCCTTTCATCTTCAGGCCTCACTGGCCTGTCCTGCTCAGCTTGGGCCAGTGACAGTCTTCAAGGCTGAACAACCACCTCCGGGTTTGAGGTCCCTGTGGCTCCTGGTCAGGCTGCCATTGTGGGGAGGGGCAGTGTCAGAGCAGGGCTGGTCGGACCCCCTGGAGTTGAGAGGATGAAGGAGGATCAGTGCTTTTTTGTTTCTTTTGTTATTTTTGGATGGGTGGGTGGGAAGGTCTCTTTAAAATGGGGCAGGCCACACCCCCATTCCGTGCCTCAATTTCCCCATCTGTAAACTGTAGATATGACTACTGACCTACCTCGCAGGGGGCTGTGGGGAGGCATACGCTGATGTTTGTAAAGCGCTTTGTAAATAAACGTGCTCTCTGAATGCCACTGATGGCCCTGTGTGTGTCTCACCAGCCTGATGGAGCCTGCTCGCCTGCCCCCAGCCTCCAGGGAGGGCCCTGGAGAAGCCTGGGTTCTGATCTGGTCTTGGTTTTTCCATTCGTAAAATGTTGGGAGTGTAGACCAGCACCTCACTCAGGGTCCTTCCACTTTCAGAGTCAGTTCCAAGGGACCCTGGCCATTGTTGCCTCCACCCAGGCCTCTGAAGCAGTTCCTCAGGTCGGGGGCATCATCTCAAGAACCCCGAGGACCACAGCACAGCTCTTCACCCCACTGGGGGCCCCGGATAAGGTTCAGCTCTTTCTGGGGCAGCAGGGGAGGCTCAGGCTTTGGTGTCAGGCAGATGGGCCGCAGAAGCTGCAAGCCCCTGGGTGAATTAGTGCCGTCTCTGGAGCCCACTTTGTCATCTGTAAAGTAGGGACAGTCCTGTTAGGATCAGATGAAGTCATGATTAAGTGCCTTGTGCAGTGCCAGGTGCGCTGAAAGGGCTCACTTCACAAACATGGCAGAGATGGGGGCAGAGGAGACACAGCTCTGCTGAGGATGCCTGTCCCTCTGCCCCAGCCCAGCCCATTCCCAGCCCTGGCCTCCTTGTGGGGTGAGGAGGGAGGAGGAGCGGGCTGGCTGGTAGGGACCTGGGTCACTCCTGGCTCTGTCACAGACTTGTTGCCTGACCTTGGACAAGACAATTCCTGTTTCTGGGACTCAGTTTCTTCATATGAAGGCTGACTCTATGATGTGCTCATTCTATTTGTACACTGGCTGACCTGTGCCTCACTTTCTCCATTGGTCAGAGGATACAACCCATTCTAATGATCTCACAATTCAGCATACTGGAATCTGAGTTAAAAATTAATTGGCCAGTTAGGGTTGCACTTGGCTAGGGCACAGAGTGACCCCCTCACCCTCATTCTGAGCTGACCTCTGAGCCTTATGTGATGGATCACAAATGTGTGTCACGGGTACTGGCCAAGCGACAGACTATGACTTGCGTGGCCCAGTAACACGGGGCAGAAGCAACGGCATGTGAGTTCTGGATCCCAGGCCTCATGAGGACTTGCAGTTTTTGCTTTTGCTCTTCTGGAACTCTGCTATGCAAGGGAGCCTGTCTCGCCTACTGGAGGATTTGAGGGCACACGGAGGAGCATCGTGTGCCATGAACAGTTCGTATCAACTCTGAGGCTGTGAGTCAGGCTGTCTTGGACCTTCCAGTCTAGCTGACCTGTCAGGTAAGTGTAGCCACATGGCTAAGCTTAGAAGACACTGCCCAACCAACCCCTAGAACTGGGAGAGATGGTAAATGTTCTTCCTTGAAGACAGTCTGTGGGGATCACTTGTTACATACACAGTTAGCTTTTGCTAACTGATACATGTGTGTGGAGCAGTCTGGATGCGGCTCTGCTCTTTGCCCTGTTGAATGCTGAGCTCCTCAAGGGCAGGGAGTGTTTCTGTGCCATCTTGTATCCATTGTCCAGTAAGGGGCTTGTCTTGGAGCTGGTGCCCCGGAAATGTTGGCATGAGGGAGGGAAGGAAGGAGACATTGGACTTGCCTGCCTGACTGACCAGGGGCCTTGTGTGGCCTCTCAGAGGAGCTGGGGAGGTGGGCTGTGTATTAGGAGGAGCACTAGGTCCAGAACCTGCAGCCCAAGGTGCCACCCCAAGCTCCATACCCCACAGTTGGGTGACCTTGCACAATCCCATAACAACCCTGCAAATATAACAGGACCTATCTGCAGGATTGGTTGTGAACTCACATGCCTCCGGTGCCTTCTACTGCTCCTACGAAATACTTAAAAGGAGCCAGCATAGTCCCTGGGGACATAATTGGCTCTCAAGAAAGGGCGTCTCATGCCATAATACTGAAGCCCCTGGATAATGAAAATGGTGACGGCCACCTTTCATCTAGTGCCTATTCCTGTGTTACGAGCCCTCCACCCTTCGTCTCTTCCTTAATCCATACAGCAGCTCTTTGCAGTGGGGATTCCTACCCCTTCATTTCAGAGATAAGACGTGGAGGCTCAGGGCAATGAGTTTACTCACCCAAGGTCACCTGGCCAATATATGGCAGAGCGGGGACTTGAACCCATCTTCAGGCTGACTCCCACACCTGGGCCTTTAACTGCTGTGCTCTGTGGCCTCCCTGAGGTCAGTAGCCTGAGAGCCCCCTCAGTGCAACACCAGATGGGTAATTTGTGGCCTAAGCACTGCTTCCCAAGTGCTGTGAGATGTGTCAGAGGTGACGGCCTCTCGGACAAGGTGGCCTGGAGCACAGGAAGATGAATGGTCCAGCTGGGTTCTGTCCAGGGCCTCAGGCTGAGCAGGTGTGGGTAGAAACCTCCACCCACCCAGGCCCCAGCAAATAGGATTTCTACAAGCGTGGATGGGCCGGCTGCCTGTTACCAGCAGGAGCTAGGTTGTTTCTTTATGCCCTAATAAACTGGCTGTAGGAGCCAGTGAAAGCAATGATTACTTCTATGATCTCTCTGCTGGCCCCTGATTGGGACGCATTATATATCCCAGGCACCCAGGAGATGGAGCCGTGACACTGATGGATGCCAAGGCCACTTGCAAGGCCCTCACTGGGAGCGGGGCCTGGCCGTTCTCTCTCCCTGGGCTCCGTGGACCTCCCTCCGCTGACCTCTGATGGACAGGAGCGTAATGAGCTTTGGTCTCAACACCCCCATGGCTAAGGGCAGTGCAGAAATAATGGAGTCATTGCATAGGCAGGAGCAACAGGTTCAAGTCAGGCAGTGGAGGGCGAGGACTTTGGACGCAGGGATGTGAGACAGCAAAGCTTTATTTGGCACTGAAACACACATTGCTTAGTGCTCTCTGTAGACTGTCATATGTCAGTCTCCAGTTCCACCTGTGAGGTGGGTCCTGTGATCATTGCCATTTTACAGACCAGGAGACTGAGAAGCGTAGAGAGCTTAAGCAACTTGTCCTAGGTCAGGGAGCCATCAAGGTCACACAAACAGCAGCAACCAGCATGATCCTTTGAAAAAACAGGTCAGACCCTGTCACTCACCTGCTCCAACCCTCCAGTGCTGCCTCTTTGCATGAGCACTGCGATCCTTTGAGGCCCCCTGCCCTGGCTCTGCCCTCTCTGGCCACGTCCCTCCTGCATGGTCCTGCACACTTCAGCCTCTTCTCTTCCCCCATCATGCTGAGCCCTTTGCATGGAACGCCCTTCTCCTGTCCTGCATACCTGGCTTCTGCCTGTATGTATCCCAACTCAGATGTCCCCTCCCTGAGGAGCCCTCCCTGAATTCCCTGAGTGGCCCTCCAGGCCTAAACATCTGCCTTCTTTATGTCTCAGTCTCCTGCCCGGTCTGTCCCTCACTGCTTTCTCGCAGTGGGTGATGAGCTTGTTCATTCACTGGGTGTTTGTTCCCGTCAGACTGTGAGCAGCGAGAGGCCAGGGCCATGTAGGCCTTGTCCTCCTGTGTCCCTTGCACTGGGCATGTGCCTGGCACATGACAGGAACTCAATGAGTATTTGTTGAATGAATGAAAGTTGCAGAGCTGGGACTGGAGCTCAGGTTGGCCTGGCTCCAAAGCCTATACTCTTGAGCACATCATTTTTAGTCCTTGGATGACCACACGGCTTGATGTCTTGAGGCTGGGTTCCAATGCTGGCTTGGCTGCCACCATGCTGTGTGGCACTGGGCAAACATCTGGGGCTCAGCCTCCTGATCTGTCCATGAGGAGGTGGGACTAGGTGCTTTCTATGAGTGTATTCTAAGTAGGACAGCATCGGGGTCAACATCCCTCAGATAATGGGGCTGACGTTGCTCAGGGGCCTCTGGGCTGACTGTAGTCTGAAGGGCCTGCACCCCCACCCTGCTGGTCCAGGTGATCACAATAGTGACTGCTGTGCATGGTCCCTAGTACATTGTTCCTAATCTTTTCAGCATCCTGAGAGGTGGGTATCACCAAGCCCATTTGACAGATGAGAAAGCCAAGGCTCAGGGAACTGAGGATAGAGCTCTTCATGTCACAGATAGAAAAGAATCAGTGTCTGGACTAGAACTTGTGACTGACTCCAAAGCCAGTGCTCATGCAAACTCAGCAACAACAGTCGAAGCCTGCACCACAGCAGCTGCTTGAGGCTGCTCTCGACCCTGAGCCAGGCTGCCCTCCCAACCTTGCTCTAGCTGGCTCACCTCCACCAAGTCCCACCATCAACAGCCTCTCCAGGCGGCGGGCTGGCAGGCAGCGGGCTGGTGTGAAACACTGCCTGGTCATCCCAGTCTGCTGAATTCTCACCGTGAGGGTGGCCCGAGTCAGCGGGAGCGCAGGAGCTGAGAACTCCTTTCAAGAAAGAGGAAACTCGACTAAGCTCACCTCCTACTCTCTCCCTGGGGTGGGAAGAGGGAGCCTGACAAGAAATGTCATTTTCTGCTCATTTCAAAGTGAATAATGTGGCTCTCTTGGGCTGTGTTTATTCTCTTGATGCACCCCTGTTAGAAGAGCATTGGGCTCAACATCCCCCAGAGACAATGGGGCTGGCATTGCTCATTAGTGTCCAGGCCACTGGCTGATGCGTCTGCTTCTGAGCCTGATGAAATCTTGGGTGTAGCCTGAGCTTTGGTCTGATGGGCCTCTGTGCTTACTTTGGCAGGTCCTTGCTTTATACCTAATGCAGATGTTGTCCCTAATCTTCCCAGAAATCCTGAGCGATAGATGTTACCAAAACCATTTGCTATATGAGGAAACAGGTTCAGAGAGGTGAGGTGAATTGCTTAAGGCCGTATAGCTGGAAAAGAGCCAAGGCAGGATTAGAAGCCATGTCGCTTGACTCCAAAGCCATTGCTCTTATAATTATTAGAGAAATACTGGCAGGTCTAAACCGCAACCACCTCAACTGCTGGAAGTTTCTCTTGTCCATGAACCAGTGTGCCCTTTCAACACTCACTCAAGCTAGGCTCAACCCCAGCCACGAACAGGCTTAGCTGAACCCACAGTCAAACAGCGCTCAGGGCTGGGC